CAAAACATAGATGGCGCCAGGACAAACGGTAATTCCTATGGACTCGCCTAGTTATGCGTAGGGAATTGAGCTTCAGCTGTTTGGTCCCGCCCCTCAGCTGTATTCACCTAGTTGTACTCACCTAATTTGTGCTTGCAGGGGTTGAGCTTTGGTTCTTTGGTCCCGACTCTCAACCGTCAATCAACAGGTGTACAGGTTCCTGAGCCTATTGGGCTCTATCACATCTACATTTGAAATTGTGTATGGAGTCAGCCTCCACCACATCACTGCTTAATACATTCCATTTGTTAACTACTCTGACACTGAAAAAATTCTTTCTAATATCTCTGTGGCTCATTTGGGTACTAAGTTCCCCTTGTTCGTGTTCCACCCGTGTTAAAGAGCTGTCTTTGTAACTATCAAAATGCATATATCTTTGCTTTCACTTCAGTTATATTTATGACAAGGGATTTAAAATTTGCCTATATTTCTGCTTCTCTGATGACATTAAAAACTTTCGTTTATTACAGTATCTACATAAAATTAACATTTATCTTCATTAGGTTGTAGTTCTCATCAATAGGGAGAGCGTCGGTAAAAAAAAAATTGTTTAAATATAAATATCTTTCCTCTCTCAATAATATGCCCGAAACGCTATGCGTACTAGTGGCTTTAGGTATTGTATGTACTAGCTCTATCTATAAATCCAATATTATGTTTGTAAATCAACTATTTATGTACTTTCCTGAATAAAATGAACTTTACTAATATCTAATCTCTGTGACTAAAACGTAAGAACGACTTTATCTATGCCTTTTTGATAACATATACAATTATAAGCTTTATTAGTGAATCTCTATTAATTAAACAATATATCAGAGAGTGTGTAAGGTTCGGTGTTCCATGTGCGGAGAGACATGGGAGATTTTACATCAGTACAGTAAATGTTTTAAGTAGCGAACGCATACTAACGAATAACGATTAGTATAGACCAACACTATTGTTCTATGAAGTCGATTTAACTTCCAGACATGTATTTTTCAATAAGTCTTAAATATTTTCTGGCTAGTTATGTTAGATATTATTAGAAATACGTATTCTACTTGTTAATATAATAAACTAAATTTGCGATCATTTAAGGAGAGAAGTGCGACGACTGGATCACTGTGTACAGAAGGTTGATATGCCAACAAACACTTTCCAGACAACAATATATCTTGGAAAAGTCGCTCCACAACATTGACACCTGGACCGTTGACTTCCTATGAGGCCACATATTTACTTATTACATAATGGAAGTATATTATTTTATAGTAAATATATGTTTTCTCGTGTTCTGCATTAAGCACCAACATTATAGTGAATAAATATACCATATTTCTTCATTATTTAAGTAATGCTAGGAGGCTTTGAGTAGCTTTGGGTCATTAGGTCAACAGAATCACCCATAGACGGTCCGTCTAATTACCACAAGCTACCACAAACTACACAAACTTCAGAAAGCTTCCTGGCAATACGTTAGTAATCAATAAATATGATATATTTACTCATTATAATGTTGGTGCTGAATGTACAACACGAAAAAACATAATTTTAATCTGAAAAAGTATCTTTTTATAAAGAAATTAGACGAAAATAAAAAGCTGGTGACGCCAAATCAAGTCGACGATCCAAGCTTCGGTTAGGTTAGGTTAGGTTTGGTTAAGTTAGGTTAGGTTAGGTTAGGTTAGGATAGGTTAGGTTAGGTTAGGTTAGGTCAGCCTAACTTAATATATCATATTTATTCATTACTAACGTATTGCCAGGAAGCTTTCTGAAGTTTGTGTAGTTTGTGGTAGCTTGTGGTAATTAGACGGACCCTCCAATAGATGGGGCGAGAGTCGCGCTATCTCTCGCCCGAGCGAGAGTCGAAACTTATTTTAGAATTGATATATCTTTGTCCTCCAACAAGATACATTTCCTTTGGTGCACTCACAATAACGAGCATATCTCTGTCTTTCTGAAGGCATATAATATTTTAGGCTTTATAAGCGTATCTTTGTTAATTACACACTATATTGGCAAGTGCGTTGGCTTCTGCATTCCATCACCGACAAGCTACTGAATGCCACTATAAAAACGTATGTATCTTCACTTGAGCTTTATATATGTCTATGTTAAAGTATTTAAAATGAAGCTTATATTTCTATCTTTCTTGAGACATATAAAACATATGTGTTTATTAATGAATTTACGTGAAATAAGCATTGTACTGAGAGAGAGTTGCTCTGTCGATCAGTCTGTGCGGGGTCGGAGCTCGGCGATTATTAAAACACATGTATCTTCATTAGAACTTTATATATATCTATGGTAAAGTATTTAAAATGAAGCTTATATTTCTATCTTTCTCAACACATATACAAACATTTGCGCTTATTAACGAATTTACGTGAAATAAGCATTGTTCTGAGAGAGAGTTACTCCGTTGCTCGATCTGTGCGGGATCGGAGCTCGCCGATTAGAAAAATACACGTATCTTCGCTTTAAATACAAATATGCCCATGGTAAGGCATTTAAAATGAAGATTATGTTTCTATCTTTCTTGAGACGTATAAAAATCTTACGTTTATTAACGATTCTGCGTGAAATAAGCATTGTTCTGAGATGAATATTGCGGATTTCCGGCTCTACGACCGATGAAAAATGCAACTTTTATACAACTACAAATATCTTTAGTTTTACTTTAAATTTTGTCCTGAAAGAGTTTTCATATATAGATCCAGTTTCTGCCGTTCTTCTGACATGAAAAGACCTTTGGTTTAATAAGTTATTAAGATGTTTTCAACAATATTACTAGGGCGTTCACCGATTCTAACATGGGCGACCCTTTTGGAAACGCAACACATGGGTTGACCTGATTGATATATGGGTAGGTTCCATTAAGGTTCGGAACAATTATATCTCCATATTAATATTAAGGTGGTACCACTGGCCAGTCCTGGTCAGACAACCTCATTACTTCAGTTCATTACAAAACCTAAAACACTTTCATCCTCCCGGCAAACAAGGAAAAAAGTAAGAGCAAAGTGCTCTCGGCGTTTCGGGCGATCGAGCAGAAACACTGAAACGTGTATACTCTTTTCACTGTCCTGACCTTAATTTTCAATGTACACATTTCATTTTTGTACCAATGTATTCGCAATAGAATGTTCTAGAAGAACATGTGTATAAAAGTCACATAAGAATGCGTTAGACCGGCACCATATAAAGAAACTTCGCGTGTCAACAATACAATAGTTTTACCAGGAAGATACAAGACATTCCGTTCTCCTAAATAGGCTATGTGGCTATTAGAGAAAACGTATATTTTATGGCAAACAACTTCATACTATCTCCAACTCGATCGGATAAGAATCGAATATTATAGAACTATTTGTTCGTCAGACATAAAAATATGTCGCGCGCTCACATTCAAGACAAAAATAGTGGTCCCGTTTTTGTGTCCGAATAGGAGGAAAGTGTATATTAAAATTAATATGCCTTTGGGCCAATTAAAGGAATTGAATCTTTACTCTCAAACGATGAATGATTATATAAGCAAATTAACAAGGTAAACTGCCAAGTGAATACTAACAGTATACATTACTTAATAAAATTTAGGAATTAAGGATAATTGGCACCTGCAACGGCATGGTCGACAGTGAATGACCTGACTCCACACGTTACCAACCACACATGGAAACAATTCCATGAATCGGCCCGTCCTCCAAACAAAGACCCAACAGTGATTCTGTGCACCCGCCAACCCCCCCAACCCCCACCTTCCCGGTTTATGAAAACGGTTTACACACGACTCGACTGTTGACGTTGGAACACTTCTGGAACAAGTGCTTCACAGACGAGTTTTGTTCCAACCACAACGCTATAAATGCTTCACCCACGTACTACAAATACAAATAATCGCCAACAGAACCTAAACACCTAACCTAACCTATGCCTATATATATATATGCACAATATGCTAATATAGTATAATTTAATTTATATGATAAAATTCCCGCTTTGAATGAACAGCATGCAAAAATTTATGAATACGTCGACCGCTGGATGTAATGGACTTGAGTCAAGCACGGGTTGCATGAATAATCATCAATCTGTATGATAACATGAATATATATAACTTCACTCCTCATATTACATAACTTCAAGGTGGTCTCAAAAACTGCTCTATGCAAGTGCAACCGCAGACAGATATCTCCCAAGACCACATGGGTCTGGGGTTGGTAATTTCACGTGCGAGTGTTAATTCTCTATAGAGGCCGAGACAGGACATGTACCAACTTGCTTCACCATCCCACGCATCCGCACATTTTCTTTTATTATTTATATTATTATTTATGCTGTGTATACAGGAGTTCTTGCATTTTATTTATTTATATTTGTATATACAAGAGTCCTTACATTCTTGTACAGACTTGCATGCATAACATTTTAGGCAGGTCCTTAATGTTAATATTTCCCCGGAATACGACCCCACCAAATCATTTAACAACCAGCTACCCATTTTACTGTTGGGTAAACAGACGCTACAGTTAAGGATTTGCACCCAGTAAATCTTGTAAAGCCACTAGCAGGCATAGCATTTTGGGCGAGTCCTTAATCCTAGTTTACCCCAGAATACTACCTGCCAAATTATTTAACCACCAAGTACCTATTCACTGCTGGGTGAACAGACGCTAAAGTTTAGGACTGGCAACAAACCAATCCTTCCCAGCCAGGATATGAACCCATGCCAACACCCTCGCGAAATGCCAGGATGTATTACCACTTCTCCATGGGAACTGCTATATAACAAATGCATACCTTTTTAATACAGGAATACATCACTCCATGTTGGCTAACTATTACACAGGATCCTTCATAATACTAGGCACACTAGGAAAAGTTGCAGCAAAGCAGACACATCATGCCTTGCTATTACTGCAACTTCTTCACACAATAACCCCAAAAATTACAAGTTGTAAGAAAGTAACACAAAGAAAATAATAATAAGATTTATTATTCAGATACAACTGTTACATGCAGAGCACTACTGATGTCTGCTGCATGAGATTCTGTGCATGAGAGTGCTATGCTGGTGCCACTAACACCCAGCACAGCAGACAAGGCCATCATCAAAACACAAATATTACTTATAATCTGCAAAACAACTTTACAGATTTACTTTACAGTACTTTAGCAAAATGTAAGTACATGTAACCTACATTCAGTATCTCATGTATGGTCATAAATTGTATTTTTTGATGACCAGCCTAAAATAAAATCATCCACTTTGATATCACAATTTGAGTGAGTTATCAGATACTTAAAAGTAACTTCACTGAGGCAATAATGGCTAATATTGTTCCCTAAGTCAAATAAAAACAAAATCTAAACTAAACAAATTCATCTAATTAGAATTCTTAATACACAAGAAAACCATGCATTCAAGAAATTCAAAGACAACTGCTTTGAAGTTATTGAAGCATTTGCAAGCAAATATGATCCACAGGAATAAAATCATGATTGAACATATGTAACGTGTCTCATCCAATCAGTGTAATCTAGGAGACAGTAAATTGCATTTATAAAAATTCTGTGAAGTAATTCAGATTACAAAAATAGTAGGTAACCTATTGGAAGCTGATGGCACAATAAAATGGACAATATAAAGGGAAGTTTGTATACAAAATTGGTAAGATACAAAATACATGCTTGCTTAATTTATTGTCTTTTATAATGCTTGCATTAAAAAACTTATTTTCTCATACTCAATAGCACAAGTGGAAAACAGATTTATTTTTTAAATCTAAAAAAAATATATTAGATATCCTACTGTATATAGACAATAATCTTACTGGATATTATATACATCTAAATACTGTAAATCTTAACTGAAACATAACATTATGCAAAATGTTTCATTAACCTTGCAGTTAACATGAAAGCTGGTGAATAAATATTTGTTGCACAAGAAATTACCTGTCAAACATGCAGATCGTAACTATTTTGTATCGCGCTGTTAATTATTATTGTCATCAGTAATGCCGTTTCCAACAACACTGCACCTAACACTTCACTTCTTTCTATACATTCCACAAATTGTATCTCCCAGTGCCTGTATAACAACGATCAATAAACCGCTCAGGTACAATAACGATGACCCTCCCCCATCGAAGGCGACATTGTGGGAGATTACTTTTATTAGGCACACACACACACGAGACAGACTATGAACACTTGAAGACCCCCCATAAGATTCTTACCCATAATGCTAAAATAATGAAGTTTCCCTAGGGCAATATAGTCCTAAATCATTTGTTACACTTCAGATTTTCTGGCAATCAACCAATAATAAAATCAAGATTAGTCTATTAATAGCATACAAGTATTCCTAACTGCATAGGAATATATGCAGATAGGAATATGCATATAACATTTCAATTTATCAATAATACAATGACTGAAATAGCAGCATTTACTAAATAAGAGCATGGGAGTATATTAAAACAAATTCTCTTAATTGGGCATCACTAGGTAAAAATAAATATAAAAATTCCATAAAGCTGCCATTATTTACTCTGATAGTGATGATGATCTATAATTTTATGTAACACACACACACACGTAAGATACACGTTATTTGCAAACTATGGCATCATTTAAAAACCTCTGAATGGACCCATGAACAACCCATCCTCCTGAAATGATACAACTGTTTTTATAACTATGTGGTTAATTGTACCAATATGTAGTAATGGAGCTCCAGTGAGCCACATTTTGCAGCTTATTTTTATAGCCAAGAAAAATAAAGCTAAAAACCAAACTTAACAATTCACAGGCCTAGTAAAGCATTTATATATCAACTATATTAACAATTCATAGGCCTAGTAAAGCACATATATGAACTATATTAGACCTTATAATGTGTATTAGGCCTAGGATGGTTTGGTTAAGTTTCATTAGCAACAAATATAAAAAAAAACTTTCCCTGATTTGTCCAGAATCAATAATACAAATCTGCTTTCTATTGGTCCATCATGACATAGTAACTATGTGGGTAATATCACAAGTACAGTACTATACTCTCATTTTAGAAGGATGGGCTAAGATTAAGTGCTGTACAGAACTAATATTTTAAGTTCCAATAGAAGAAGTAAAAGTTTGTTATTTTAGCACCTACTAGTCGCAATGTTCACATGTACGGGGGTAATTTAATTATATTATATTATATTATATATATAATATATATATATATTACACAGTACATATTTTAGTACAAAAATTTAATCATTTTAATTTATTTAGGTTTCTGCGCTCCAGAAATGTAGATAATCCAAATTTTGATTAGAGTCGAGCAGTCAAAAACTCACTCAAATTTATTCGGATTACTCAAAGATTTGGCTTGCCGGAATTTGGATTAGCGAGCTCTTACAGTACAGTACAGTAATTGAAAGTGCAATGTAAAGGTGAATCGTAAGATACACCTTATTTCTTGACAATAATATGGCAATGCTTGGAAAAACTATGTGCAAAAATCACAAACCGGCACCCACTACTGTACATCATTTGGTATCATAAACCATAATACGGTTTAACAATCTCCCACTGATATTCGCTCTACACATGCAGAGAAGAGATACAAACTCTGCAACAACTTAGATTAATTCACAGTCAATTATATTATATTTTCAAGGTTTACAATGAAAACTAGCCACCATCACAAACTATCACTTTCACACTGGCCACAAAGCTTCTTCAAAAGCTTTTTTAAAATGTCAAAAATAATCAAGAAAACAATTAGAAAAGTAATTTTGTTTTTAAGTACACAGTGAAACAGTTGGGAAGAAAGCTAAATGTGTAATAGAGAGAAAATAAGGAAGAGGAATATTTAAGTAAAATTTTTTAAAGAAACAAAAGGTGTAAGGAGAAACAGCTTGAAGAGAGTACAAAGAGCAGCACTCTACTGTGTGGAGAGATATTGGAGAGGTAATCCAGGCAGCATACACACACAAAACAATGTTTACATGTGCAACATTGTGTGCGAGACAACACCTCATTGCGGATATTCCAGAATTAATAACAAAAGCACAGTCAAGCCAGATAGAGGAATCTCTGCTTCTCTCCCAGCAGTGAATCTGTGGGCGACCAAGATCTACCCGTCTAGTATCCATGTTCTATCAATATAATTGTATAATATAAACTATTAAAAGAATGCCAACAAAATAAATAAAAAGTCACAGTAAAAATGTATTTAATAGTAAAACCTAGTGTTATGGGAGTTTGGGATAATTATTATGCGATAGTTATGGGATAATTATTATGCGATAGTTATGGGATAATTATTATGCGATAGTTATGGGATAATTATTGTTATGGGAGTTTATTTGGGTGTTTCTTGTATCACTAAAGCACTGTCACTAATATAAAAATCTGGACCTCAAAATGATTTGCTTAATTCAGGTGGGAAACAAAAAATAATAATAATAATAATAATAATGAAGTAACTTACTACAATGGCAGTGTTTGAATGAAGGTAAAGACCCAATATATGTAAAAAAACTGTGGAAACCTCAGACAACCAACCACTATCCACACTCACAAAATAAACACAATCTCCAGCAATTCTTCTATCAATCACAATGAGCCAGAATGTACTACATCTGGGCAAGTGTTAACAAAATCATCACTTCAAACAAAATATACAATACATGACAACAAATTCCTTACCAAGATGAGTGGGGGAGAAATAATCAAACTGGAGGTCTCTGGAACATTACCAAGCCCTCCACATAAACTTACGGTTGTTCTGTACAAGATTTCCTAGAATTGTACAGATCGTGGGCCCACTGTGCCTAACAAGTTGCTCCTCAGTAGCTTAGAAAGGAAATAAATCCCCCAGACAGTCATAGATACATTGCCACCCTGCACATTTAAGTTAATGATGTTTTTATCAAACCTACAATCAGTAATAAAACCGTTTTTAATATTACCGAAAGTTAGTCGATTTTTAAACCGTTAACATTATTTTCACTACCTAATGTGAAGATATGATAATAAAATTAAGCAGAAACAAGTGTTCATAGTGGTCTGAATTCTAAGTGACAAAAATAACTATTTTATTTAAAAATAAAATCATTTGCATGATATTTACATTATAAATAGTTAATTCAGTAATTATACAATTAAAAATACAGTTCAGTAATCTTCAAAAACCTGATTCCACTTTACACATCTTGAATTTTTAAACAAACATTTTGAGCATTTAAAAATTATACATTAATAGTTTAAATAAAAAAACATACATAGAGTTTGTTGTGTGTGAAGAGTTAGCTGTGTGCACTTCAATTAACAAAGACCACAGGTATTGGCCCCTCTATCACAGATCCTTTGCTAAAAAAAAAAAATGTGTTATTTTGATCATGATCCAACACCTACATGACTGTGCTGGGTCAAGGATTGAACTAAGCGACAAATGCTAAATACTTTTAAATGTTAACTGGCCAAGACTGATCAACATCAAAAGGCATTCATTGCGTGCACCTTACATTTCACTACCAAACCACTCAAGACATACAACTGCCAAGGAGGATGCTGACCTGGCAATTGCTCTTATTCTTAATCAAAGTACTAAACAATTTAAGTGTTGAAAATTTATAAGCATTTATACAAACACACATTCTTAGATAACAGGCTAAGACCTGTTACCTAAGAGGATTTGTAACTGCCATTAAAGTTTTAAAATTGCTATTCCATATACAGTACCTCTGTTTCAAGTCTTTTTAATATTCGGGTAAACAGTAAACTCGGGATATTACAACCCATTACCCAAGGGTTTTGTATACAGTACTTATATTGTATATGTATGTGTATTATATATATATATACACACATTATATTATATATATATATAAAATTTTGAATTTATTCAGTAAAATCAGTAGTATGCAAGTCTACCACCACCAATCACAGCCTTTACAAATTTAAAATAAAGATCACAGCTTGTATGGACAAGTTTATGCACACACACAATATATGAGAGAGAAAGAGATATAGAGAGAGAATGCTGCACCCATGACATAAGCTTTCCAGAGCCACTAATGCTCGTGTATACAAAATATCATCAGAATACAGATCTCAGTATATGCCATTGTTAATTGCATAATTATGAAAGACAGACAGAACACTGAAGTCAGAAATGATGCAGCAAACAGAATCAGACTTGTTTAAATGATTTACTATATCATCGGTAATATCCTTCCTCGCTGTCTTACTGGAAGACAAAAATATTGATTTTTAAGTTTTCATCAATTTGTTTCATCCCATTTCTTGTCCTAAGATTTGAACATCCAATAATATTTCTTTTTTTTATTTAATACAATGAAGACAAGACTTCAAATGGATGTTAATAAATTATTTGCTACTTTTACCCACTATCTAATTGGGCTCTTTCTATTGCCTTGAATTAACTGAACACATTTTCCAAGTTCCCATGATAAACTAATGAGAAACTTTACATCTCTGAAATATAATGTCAAAATGTTATGTAATGTTTGTATAATGAAGCTACCTAATGGACTAAACACTTCTTCACTCATTAAAATTTTTGGCAACAAACATTTTTTCTGCTCATGATGGTTTCAATTACCTCAATGTTATTTCACATGCTTGAGATAAAACAAATGGCACTCGCTCAAAAACACGTCTAGTAAATGGAAAGGTATCCATAACAGATTGCAGCTCACAGAAAAAAGATTTGCATACTGGACAAAACAGGCACCCAAAGCTAGCAGTATACTGGACAGAACAGGTACCCAGAACAAATAAGTACTTTACAATGGACAGAAAGGGTACCCAAAGCAAAGTGTACACTGTGAAGATAGGGTACCCCATGGATAAAAGTCAATAGACAGAAAACAAATGAACTGTGTCTATACAAGAGTATTATATGAACACAAAAATATTTTCAAAGTCCTACATTAATTATAACTAATATTGCTGTACTATAAAAATTTACCGAGCTCTATAGTGATTCACCATGAAGTACTGGACAGTGTTGATTACATTTCCAAAAATAATTCAAGTTATACCATAACTTGGATGGAGGATTATTCCACTTGGTTTAAAGATTTTAATGTGAAATTTCCATTCTGATGTCTTGAGATCTGTGAAGAACGTTTCAGCTATATTCAATATTACGATAAAACACAAGTCACAAGCATACAAAACGCTAAATAACAAACTTAAAAAATGCAAATGGGCAAAGCTGTCCGAACTAAATGTAATTTCACCGAGATAACTACATTACAACAGGACCAGAACTTTGCATATATTAAGAAATCTGAGCATGTAACTTTTCATGAAGTAATGAAGAGAAACTTGTTAATTGGTATGGAGGATTTAAAGTACATATTGTACTTCAAATTCTGAAAGTAGTAAAAAAAGTAAATGTAACAAAAACAAAACTAGTACATGCAACTATTAACATTTCACTTATAAAAACAGTAATGCATACAATAGAAACTTTGTTAAATTCAAATACTAGTGTATGGGTATTGTTAAAGGGCATTAGTGCTAAATTGGTGATAATTTTCCTCTCAGTTCATTAAATTTGATTAAATATTTTACTCAATTTCAATGTCATTAAGAACCTTAGGTTTTGCACCAAAAATTATTGGTATCGCTATAAAAGAAAACAGATTATAATGAATAATGACAGAACAATGAATAACTAATGGGTTTTACAGAAACAATTATCTCTGTAAATACAAGTCAAACTAATGTGTACTTTCATTGTCTTAAATGAGAGGAGAATTGGTGTTCAATAAGATTAAAATCAATAACTTAAGACTTTAAGCAGCCAGTAGCATGCAATGTTATTTGCCTATGCACAAAGCAGAAATAACAAGAACTTCACCGCAGCCACCCCATGCCATGACCCAAAGCGTATCAGATTAGCAAGAAGCCTTTTGAATCCTCGTGCCATGCATTTGAATATTTCCTTCATGTGCCAGAGTCAAGCGTGTCACAATACAGAGGGTTTGTCCACACAACATCCACAGATTCATCATCAGTATCCAGTCCCGAGTCATAGAGAGGGTTGCTCCACTTGATAATTCTAATGAGAGATTATAATAATTAGGCAACTAATAGAAAAGTACAAGAATGAATGCAAAATTTCTAGAAACAGAATAAGCTATAATACATATTAGCCTCATTGTTTTTTAGGTTAATTCTTTGTGACTATCTCTTACACACCATGACAGTTCTGTCCAGTCAAACTCAAAATGCATTAAAATCAACACTGTTCTGCATCTCTATTTTCTCTAATGTGATAATTTCTTTTAGTTTTGTGCTTTCTCTGCAGTTATATCAGTTTAGGTCAGAGGAATGTCAGCTCTGCTTCTCACATTCTAAGTGTATCACCATTGACAGCACAATGAGAGTTTTACTTGCTCAACCAATTAAAAATGATAAAATAGCTCTTCTTGATCAAATAAAAACACTGCTAATGGCCCTTGGTAGAATCAAGAGTAAAGAAGAACCAAATATTATTCTCCCTACTCAACTAGGATTGATATGTTGCTTCCTCAGGAATACAACGGAATAACAACTGTGCATTCTCACACATACGCACAAGCTTTGACGATAATTTTGTCAACCTGAATTTATAAACGAAAGTTGGAACCATCATATCAAGTAGTGGATAAATCATATCTTTGAATTAAATAATTTACTACCTGGTTACAACAATCCCACTAAGCCTTTATACACCTATGTTAAAATGATTCTTGCGTATAGCCAAAGACACCAAAGACTCATCACTCCATCTGACACATTCCTTCCTGATTACATCCCAACCATTTACCTGGGATGGCAGTAGATAAATATAATATAAGGCATACAAAGCTCAACAAAACACTAGAAACAAGAAAACATTTAAGAAATTGTAAAAGGTTGGATAGCAATGTCCGCTAAGGTTTTTGAAGCTCTGCATGCAGCATGAATTTAAAAATATTAGCTCCAAAATGCATTTATTCTGTAATCCTTGTATCAAGTAATGACAGAAGCTGGCTAGAAATGCAAAGCCTAAGTTAATATATCCTAAAAAACCAACCAGAAATAATGTTAATGTGTACAGGCACGTAATGTGTGTACAAAAGTAGCATCATATTAACTCATTCTTAAACTATTGTAATTATTATAAAAGATAAATACCAAATATATTTTGTATATCTAAATGTATTCACTAAAGCACACTAAAAGACCAATTATAGTAATTTTAAATTCATTACATATTAATGTTTATATAGAAATATACAATATAGCAGGGCCTCAAAACCCAGTGTTAAATTTAATGAAACACCTTTTTCTGATAGAGCCCCTGTGACTTCCTGTAGCTATCTCACTCAAATTGCTCCACACTACAAGGCCCATCAGTCACATGAGCTCAGTTTGACTTACCAGGGCCAGAACCAGCCCCCCCCCTCCCCCACACGAGGCAGAAAGAGCAAATGACATTGTGCCATTTCACCAGTTATGCATCCAGAAAGCCAGCAAAGTTTTTCAGAAAATTGCTGGGTTTACAAGACTCGAAGCCATGCAACTGCCAAACAGCTCTCTAAACAATTACAGTAAATGAAAACAAAACAAATATTTGTTTTGAACCTCGAGTGAACAAGGTTCACTCGTTCACTAAACTTTAGTGCTTCACTCCAGCACTAAACTAGCTGGAACCTGTTGGAACCAAATGCTGCCAACAGGTGGATAAAGCTTGGTTGAGCATCAGTATGCACTTCACGAGCAGGAAAACACTGCAATGAACTGACAAACATGGAAGGGAGGGAAGGAGACAGGGAGCCACCTGGGGTTTTATCAGAGAGGTGTTTCACTACATTCAATGTTGGGTTTTATGCTGCATTGCTGTTAGCAAGGCATCAAAAACTGAACTAAAGTGCTTGCTGATGCTGAATCAACCTCCAGACCAACCTTGTGGTGGCCTTCAGAATTAATGGGTTCTAGCTTGTTTCATGTGATTTCTTTTGTTTAAATTGAATTGTTTTGGAGCAGTTTTGCAGTTTCATGGCCTTATGTCTTGTGAACCCAGAAGTTCTTTGTAAAGCTTTGCCGACTTTCTGGATGCTTTCTATGTGAAATGGCCGAATGTCATTTGCTCTCTGCCTCGTGAAATGGAGGGAAGGGTGGAAAGGCCAAGTTCTGGCTCTGGTCCTTAGTAGGCCAAACTGAGCTCCCAGAACTGATGGGCCTTGTAGTGTGGAGCAATCTCGGCGAGCTAGCTACAGGGTGCCACCAAAGGGCTCCCACAGAAATAAATTCCCTTTCCACATATTTCATCATGACCAAGGAAAGTATATATGGAGCCTTAGTAGTAAGTTGGGCTTACCTATGTGCTTGGAGAGTATTGAGAAGTTAACAGCAAAAATTTAATTGTAATAACTGAGGTATTTACATTAGGAAAATTAACCCCAAAGTTGAATGTGATGTGCATTTTATCATCAACACAACCACATCAGACTGACTCAGAAAATTGTGGCCATACAATAAAACACCTGTTCTGCAATATTATGATGTACATGTGTAACATTGTTCAGTATCATCATTACAAATTGTATTAAAGTATTTCATTTAACAATGGGTTACAGAGGGTATGGCTCCACCAGAATACTGGAGCTGGAAGCCAAAAGCACTAGTAAAGAGAGAACCATGACAACCCTCATCACTGTTGAGCTGCCAGGAGCATCACGCTTCCGAGTGACGTGTGCTTGACAAAGTTATGCATGCAGTATCTTACAAGCATTCTACTTTACATTAATGGCAATCAAAATAAAGTTAACAAATTTCAGAAAATTCTAGCAAGTTAAATGCAAGGTGGAAGTACAACCAAATACAATTTGCTGTGCCATTCATAAATGAGGTCAAAGTAATAATTAGAATATTGAGAGAAATGATACTGACCCATTATATATAATGCTATATCAGAGGTCAGATAGACATTATATAGAATTTAAATCAGAGTACTAACCTTTAACTTTACTTTACTTTAGTAAAGTTACTTTACTAACTAAAAGTACTTTACTAACTAGTACTTTACTAACTAAAAGTTAGTAAATTATTAGCTAAATTGGATGGAAGACATATCGAAGTATCCATTCCACAAGCAACTAAACACACATGGAGTACTGAGGAGTAGGTCTCACCTATATATGCTGTCTGTCATGTCATCGCCAACACTCAACTGGTAGGATACCTCACCTAGATACTTGGATACGAGCTGTGAGAGAGAACGAGAGAGATGTGAGAATGCCCCCCCAATAATTTACTATTTAAATCACTTTACAAAAATATGATGATCACAAACACATTTGTATTAATTAAAAAACATTCATCAGTTTACAAATGTGGCTTAAAGTTTATTTTTCATTCATTTTAATTTATTCATCAAATTCATTCTATGCACAATTAATACTGTACTCATCTTTAATACTATATTCACATGAATATATTTTTGTATGCAGTTAGAGCAATGTTTCCCAACATTTTTTGATCCTTGCCTCACCTGAGCACTTAAAATGGTTTAATTTTTCCCTTGGTTGAGGAGCTATATACAGTAGTGTATGTGTATATTATAGATGCCGTTAAGAGAATTCAGTTTCAATTTCATGGCCTATTTAAACTACATACTTCAAACATGTACATAAGAATGTAATTAAATGTATGATTTAAATTACAATAAATGAAATATATTTGCATTGCAATTAACGATGAAAAATAAATAATAGCCTATACAACATTAAATGACAATAAATAAAATGAAGTTGTCAGAATATATAACAAATTCTAATAAATGACATCGTGCTTGTGGCATCCAAAACATAAAGCAAGCTCAGTTCTGGAAAGTAAAATAAACATCAATACGATCCTTGCACTTGGTGTCTGCTGCAAAGTATTTTTATTTTAGGTGGTAATTTGGTCAATTTTAATCTCAACTCACCATGGTTTGTAATATCCTGTCAATTTCTTGTAACAATAGATCACTTACAGCACTAAACGCACTTTCAACCAAATATGAACTCCGAACTGCAACAGTAATTTTCTTGCTAAATTACTCGTGTATGGATATTTGGCTCTTTCACTGCAGAGCCATAACACTGTTCCTTTTATTTTAAATAAGGTTCTAAATGAGTCATCGTTTTGCATGTCTGATAATTCTTCTTGACATTACAAAGCCACCACACTTCAGTCCATTAGCATTAGCTGAGTTATCCAAGGTAGAAAACAAATTTTTCAAATTGGAAAATCTTTCATTCAAATCACAGACCATTTTGCTCAGGTGATCCGCAATAACAAGTACTGTACACCATTAGTAACTTCTCACTTAGAATAGAATGCATTACACAGTGATGTGGCGGAGGATGACTCCACACACAGTTTCAAATGTAGATATTATAAGAGCTCAATACATTCAGGAATCTGTAATCAGTAGATTGACAGTTGAGAGGAGGGATTATAGAGCCGAAGCTCAACCCCCACAAGCACTAGGTCTAGGTCTCTTACTTAGTCAACAAAATTGGCCAAAATTGACCAAAATTGGTCTTCATATTTATGAATTAACTTTTTTTTCTTCCTCTATTATCATCCTCAACAATTTTCTTCGGTTGAGCTTTACCACTGACTTTCTTGGGACTCATGGCATGATATATAACCAGAACTTTTATATTCAGAAACAAAAAAAAAAGCACAAAAACAATTACATCCTTTACAGAGAATTCAAGCGCAGTCATCACTAGGCGAGATACACTGTAAAACTGAACGTGCAACACTCCATGCCCAGCAGAACCAAAGCGCCGACTCATACAAGTATCAACAAGAGTCGTGTACTCTGGAGCAAACGTTGTACACCGGGTCAAATTTTACAATGAAATTGTCGGCATACACCAAAAAATTCATACTCTGGGACACTCGTAGACCAGGGTTCCGCTGTACATTGATGGTGAAATATTAAAGAAACTATTCATGACTTTTGAGACATCAAAATTGAAATATGCAGCAGCTGTATGATGCCCATATCACCAGAAGTACATCAATAGGCTGGAAAGGTTGTAAGGATATGCTACAAAGTAGCTTCTGAAACTAAAAAAAAAAAAGCTACAAGAAGAAGCTAGAGGTGTTAAATATGTCAAGGCTAGAAGACAGAAGAAAAAAAAAGAGGCGATATGATTACATATAAAGTAGTAACTAGAATCAACAAAATTAACAAGGAGCTAAAACTGTCAGTAGTTTCAAAGTGTCATATGACAAAGAGTACTGGGAAGACGGGACACCACGAGCACAGCTCTCATCCTGTAATTACACTTAGGTAATTACATGTGTGTTCACATTCTTACCATCCTGTCAATTTTCTTGGTCTTCCTCTTTCCCTACCCAAATAAATTCATTAACCTATCAGCTATACTTCATTTCCAACTAACAGGCCTAGACCAGGTGCATTAACCCTTAAACTGCTCTGGGCTATATGGCCTTCAACACCCATAGGTGCAATAAAAAATAAATAAATATAAATATTTTGTCTTATAAAAAGTGTTCATTTGTGTTCCCTGATCACAGGAAAAATAATACAAAAATTGTAGGTGGCATATTTTGGCCGCAATAGGGCTAGAAAGTCTGGCAAAAAAAAAAAAAAAAAAAAAAGCGTTAAATGTAATGAAACACCATTTTTTGGGTGAGTCCCGGAGGCTCCCCAGAGCTATCCATGGCTGACATGGATACCCTGACTATTTTTCATCAGTCGATGTGGGTGAAGTTCTAGGCCATATTAACGCACCAAGGAAAGCCAAGACAGGGTATTGCGAACCGGCACCCAAGTCTACCAAACGAACTTCTAAAAGCTGAACCCCTGGGACGTGGCCACTCACAGGGGCCTAGCGGGGGATACCGCCAACACACAAGAAAACACACACTGTACTCGGACTTATCCTGTTTCTGATATATGTAAATGATCTCCCAGAGAGTATAGACTTCTTCCTCTCAATGTTTGCTGACGACGCCATAATTATGAGAAGGATTAAGACAGAGAAGGACAGCTTGAGGCTTCAAGAAGACCTGGACAAGCTGCATGAATGGTCGAACAAATGTTAGAATTTAACCCAAGCAAATGTAATGTAAAGAAGATAGGCACAGGGAGTAGGAGACCAGATACATGATATCATTTGGGAGCTGAAATACTTCAAGAGTCAGAGAGAGAGAGAGAGAGACAGAGAGACCTGGGGCTTGATATCATGCCAGACCTGTCCCCTGAAGCCCATATCAAGAGGATAACATCAGCGGCATATGCCAGGTTGGCTAACATAAGAACAGCCTTTAGAAACTTGTGTAAGGAATCTTTCAGAACTTGTATACCATATATGTCAGACCAATCCTGGAGTATGTGGCTCCAGCATGGGGTCCATATCTGGTCAAGCATAAGACTAAACTGGAAAAGGTTCAAAGGTTTACCACCAGACTAGTACCCGAACTGAGGGGTATGAGCTATGAGGAGAGACTACAGGAATTAAATCTCACGTCACTGGGAGACAGAAGAGTTAGAGGGGACAAGATCACCACATTCAAGATTCTCAGAGGAATTGATAGGGTAGATAAAGACAGACTATTTAACACAAGAGGCACATGCACTAGGGGACACAGGTGGAAATTGAGTGCCCAAATGAGCCACAGTGACATTACAAAGAATTTTTTCAGTGTCAGAGTAGTAGACAAATGGAATGCAATAGGAAGTGATGTGGTGGAGGCTGACTCCATGCACAGCTTCAAGTGTAGATATGATAGAGCCCAGTAGGCTCGGGAACCTGTACATTAGTTGATTGACAGTTGAGAGGCAGGACTCAAGAGCCAGATATCGACCCCCGCAAGCACAACTAGGCAAGAACACCGACCCTAACAACAGAGGGGAAAAACAAGGCAGACATCCCCCACCAGGCAGGAACAAACAAAAACAAAAGAAAAACCCTGCAAGAGGACAATGTACCCAGGCGGAACAGAGCCAGCCACTATGATAGGTGATAACTAGCTGTGCAGTACCCCGAGCCCCTATCAGTGACAAAAACTACCTCCTATCCAGAGACAAACAAGGGCAACAAAACCCCAGCTCTGACATTCCTGTCACTAAATTCTGAATATGAATCCATTTCCACAAGGTTATATTTATATTGTAAAGCTCAAGATTGTTTTATGATGTGTACATGCACGAAACAATGGCCAAGTGCTGTGGCTGTCTGCCACACATTGTGATCATCATAACTAGCATTGTGTTCACTGATACCTGAACATTGTACATATTCTTCATTACAGTTAGGATCATCTATGACTGAAAAAAAAAACTAAGACACTATCAAAGCAAAATAAACCCTGTTACTTATTTCATTCATGACTTATGTGGTGCTGTGGCTCCTAGCTGCACAGCGGTGCTGAGAGCTCCAGCTGCACGCACCAGCCTTGGTCACACTCTCAGTACTGAAGCTCTCGCAGCCAGGAGAGATGAACATTTTTTTTTCACGATGGCATCTGTTTACTGGAGCCCTGAAGAACAGGATGTGAGCCCTGTGCACCCGCGGGAGTTTAAAATCTTATGCTATACCTAAAAAACCTGGTTGTGGTGGTATGCACCATCAATGAAACAACCCTGGTTGCGATGCGCAGTTGTTGGGTTAATACGTATATTTTTCATTATTTTATTTTCACACTTTTCATTTTAATACAGTCTCCATGTCCACTCAGTACACTTCTATTTACATGTTTATCCTCTCCCAAACTCGATTCCAACATTCACCACATTTCCTACCCTCCACATCATTCCCTTATCCTTCACCACCTTCTATAACCTTTACTTCTTCCCCCTCTCCACCACATCCCATCTCCTTTGCTACTTTTTAGATTTACTTAACAAGTAAATAAATTCTGAAACATTTTGGCTTTATTAAAATTAATACAGGAACTGTACTGCGTAATTACCACCTAAACTAAGCATGATCCTATTGTGTCTATACAGCAATTCCACTATCAACATTTGTCTTATGATTAATAACAAATCTGACTCAAATATATTCATGGTACAGTAATATCATGTATGAACGTATTGGGATACGACAAGAGAATGTGATGAAGAATGAAAGTCGAGATCTCACAGTTAAAACTATAAAAATACAGGTATAGTAATTTTGGTAACCCACTGGACAAGTGATAACATTTTGATAAATCACTGGTATGCATGTGGTTAATTCTCAGAGTGAAAAAGAGATGAAATACATGTTATTAAAGATGAGATAGTTTATTATCGTGCACAGAGATTCTTAGTCATGAAATTGCACTGCTTATCATACGAAAAAAAAAAATATAGTAGGTAGCATTATAGTAAGCTTGAAGAACACATACCCTTCGAAGCTCTGTTGCAAAGTAGGACTAATTTCATCCATGCCCGTAAGTCCAGAAAGCTTGAAAAACAAATGTACGAGTTTTGGAGAAGTTCATCATATCATGAGGATTAGAAATGCAGTTATTAAAAGAAAAGACAAGCGATGCAAAGCACAAAAACAAGTATGCAAGAACTGGACATCTAACAAAGTAACATTCATCATATTCAACTCTGGTCAAGGTCAACATAAAGACTCCAACTTCATCATCTTTTTGCCTCATCTAAGATTTCAGCATTTATTAAAATATAAACACCCTTAAACATTATATTCCAAGCATAATATTTCTTACTCAGTAATGATCCAGTTAATGAAAATAGTATTAAAGGACTGTATTGAAAGCAAAAACCTTAATATACATGTTATGCGTAATACACCTTATTTGCAAAGAGTACATTATACATTTTACAGCAATGGTTCCCAACCTTTCTGGACTCATGGCTTTATTTTCTAATAAAGTACTCAAAAGACCTGTGACCCCCGTGACACTTTCAGAACTGAAAAAATTCAAAGGATGAATTTAGAAACAATCACATCATTAAGAAGTAGCAGCTCACATCATTGATGTGAGCTACTTTTCAAACTGCACGAGGGTCGCAACCCACCAGTTGAGAATTGGTAGTCTATTGAAAACTAGTGGGGATACCCAGAATTGCTTGGGTAATAGATGCCGCATTTTTACTACTAACTTCATCACTGTAACCATCTTCCTAACATACTACCATCATCGCAGTACCATCTTAACACACCGGCACACGCCTTCCCTCTCCTTCGCCACTTCCCAACGCTTCACCACCCTCTCTGTACATTACCAACTTCTTTACCATTCACCACCTTCCCCACATTTCCTACCCTCCACATCATTCCCTATCCTTCACCACCTTCTATAACCTTTATTTCTTTCCCTCTCCACCACATCCCATCTCTATTGCTACTTCCCCCTACCCTTCACTACATTTCCTACCATTCACCACACTCCCTAGCTCTCACTGCCTACCCTAGTCTTTCTACTCTTCACATTCCCTTCATTCCCATAAGCTTTGTGAGGATGGAGTCTTTTATTTAGTGAGATCTGAAAGTAGTATGATTTGCTATTTCATTCAAAAGGGAGGGAGGTCACTGGGTTCAACCTTGACCTGCCTATGACGATCTCCAAAGACCAGTCATTCTGTAAAGTTTGGCGAGACCAGCCCCAAGCATCTGGCCCCTAACTTAGAAGAAGACAAAGAAACAAACACAGAGAGACACACACTTTTATAGATACACAGCATAATTATGCAAATAAACTAGATATATTTTTATCACAACCAATCAATGGAGGTATCCCAAATCCCTGTTAGGCATATCTCACAATACAAGCCATTTATGAATATTCTTCAAAAACAAAACTATACTATGTACCTATATTAAAATGTGGACACAGTGAGAAAAGGATATGGGAGGCATGGTGGTTTTGGTAGATTCTTCAAGTAAGGTGCTGCTGTTCTCATGGACAGGACTATTCACAGTCTGGCAAGAATGATATTCTGCATCGATGCATCATGAATCTTTTGAAATGTCTGTTGGGTCACTCTAGTATCTTCCTAGCGGTATGGCCCAACAGGGATGTTTAAAAGGAGCCTTGTTGTGTTGGTTCAAAATATCGACCTGCCCTGACAGTCAATAGCCCTGTCCACAGGATTAATAGGACCAACCTCAAGAAATAATCAAGTGGTATAGAGCTCAAACATAAATATGAACATGACAAAATAATAACAAAAGACCTTTGGGGACACCTAATTATGTAAGTATAACTGAGAATACTGTTACTAATTAGAGTATTTGGAAACATGCACTGCATTTCAAAGTGCTAGAAACATTTACTGTACTGTACTTAATTTAAAAAAGCTTATACTTTTTATCAAGAACACACACACACACACACACAAAAAGAAAAAGCTGTTATCCTTATTAATCAACATATGTCAAACATGAAAAGTTCCATACACACACACACACTTGACCTCTAAACTTCAAACTGTTTTTATAAATAATGAAATATAATGTGAACCAAAATTATAAACTTGGTACTCACCGGCAAGCTGCAGCTGAAATTAAAACCAAATGCAATGGCGAGGAACAACGCCAGGTAAATTATGAGGCTGAAGTACATGATCCCACACACGCACACCAGAAGGTACGCCCACCACTGCCCGTCAAGACGAGTGCCCAGGAAATTGACTACAAACCACATGTTAATGGCAATCACCAATAGCGACAAGAGGGAAGCCAAGATTTTTGTGAACCTGTAAGACAGTGGAGTCTCTTAATTAACTCTTGCTTCAGTGAAATCACAGTAGATTTGCTAATAAACTACTGTACCTATACTGTATTAACTGATTTAAACATTGATTTTTGTATAAAATACTTCCATCCTAAAAGACTAAATGAAATTTTAAAGTACTTTAATGAGATTAAAAACATACTGTAGAGCATATAGGAGATATATAATCAGAATGAAAGTAGCTTACAATCCATTTTTGAAGTCTCCCATAATACGCTCTGATGAGGTGAATGTCAGAGTTGGAATCAGAGCAAAAGGCAACTGAAGGGACATGACAGCATTCAGAAGATCATTCATCCCAGTGAGGTCATTGATGTTCTGCAAACATAATAAAGTACTGTACTGCCGGTTAACAAAATACAGTACTGTATATCGATTTATTTTTGTATATGCCACCATTCTATCAAAAGTGAAACAATTAAATCTTGTATTTATTTCAAAATGAATAATAAGCTGCAAAGAAATCACATTAAGGTGATGTATCAACAAGAAAATCGGTAGATGCCATGAGGATTCGAATATGCACACTAGGCTTCGACATGCTAACGCAATGCAACCTCATTCAACTGAATCATCTAGGGGTCCTTAAGGTTTTCATTGGAGCTCAATCAGGATTTCACACGTTGCCTGCATGCACTCTGCAGGCACACATTCCCATATCTATCCATTTTTATCTGCAACACACTTCTCTTCTGTAAGTAGAACTCCTAGATACCACAGCCAGAGTGCAAGCAAGCAAGTGGAAGTCTTAGGACCCGTACAGATTCAGTTGAATCCCAGGTTGCATTTCCTTCAGCATGTCGTGGCCGAGTTGGTTAGGACGAATACTTGGGAGTACCCAGTGTGCAGATTCGAAGCCTTATCATTACTTCTGCTTATTTTCTCATGTATAATAATTTTCCAAAATTCTTTAACTATTTCCTTAACTCCTTGGAGCCTTTCGTTTTCTATGAAGAAAACATTAAAGAACATGCACTCATCACAGCACCAGGAGGCAGGAGTCACACTGCAGCAGGCTCCAGGAATATCCAATTGCCTAAGTATTGGGAATGGGCTGAGGGCTGTAAGTGTTGGTATAAAGGAATAGGGAGTTGAAAAAAGTAAACAAGATACAAGAAATATGCGAAATTGAGTGAAAATTCTGTGTTGGGAAAGTTTATACAGTACTCCAAAACAAAAGATCGTCAATAACAGAGATGGCTGCCACCATGGAAGATGTAAGCACACCAGCAGATGAATGATTCGAAGGATTCTCAACATAAGGAAAGTTTTTTTTGGCAGACTAGAGATTATTGAGGATAGGCTGAAAAAAAGTATAAAGAAAAAGTCCTTAAATTACAACAAGAAAATGAAGCTTTCAGGAATGAGTTTTGCACTTTAACCACCGTCAGGGGTTTAACCAGCTGTCAGGGGCCTGACAGCTGAGTGGACAGCGCTTCAGATTCATAGTCCTGAAGTTACGGGTTCGATCCCTGGTGGAGGGGAAACAAATGGGCAGAGTTTCTTTCACCTCTAATGCACCTGTTCACCTAGCAGTAAATAGGTACCTGGGAGTTAGACAGCTGCTATGGGCTGCTTCCTGGAGGTGAGTAACAAACAGGAGGCCTGGTTGAGGACTGGGCCGCGGGGGTGCTAAGCCCCCAAATCATCTCAAGATAACCATGCTGCACTGCCTTAAAATATGACATTCCCGCTGTGCGCATAAAAAAATTCTTTGTGAAAATTTCTTTGTTCTCCAAAAGTTTTAAATACCCTCCCCCTGATCACATATACAGTATGTTGAAAATATTGCACAAATGTTTTTACTTACAAAAATGTAACTATTTTTTTAATTGATTTCGGTTTTTGTTCACCAGAAATATCAGAAATACATATTTTTATTCGAGTTGAGCAGTCAAAAACTCGAATTTGAATTTACTTGAATTACCCAAAGATTCAGGTTACTATAATACAGATTACAGAACTCTTGCACTATTACAGTAATTCAGCATGATGGGTAGCAATACTGAATTTTCTGTTTGGTGGTATCGTACTTTTTGATGGCTTTAGATTCTATACTCTTCTAATTGTGCTGTCTGCATCCATGATGAGCTTACCAAAGAGCACAATGTGCTGACACTGTTGTACAGAAATGCAAAGAATAGACTCATATTAAATGATGTTTTACCTGTAAGGCTTTACCAAATCTAATAGATAAATAGGTTCAGTGCTTATACAGGGGTAAAATAACTGATATACTCACCTGGTAAAATGCAATAAAGAAAGTCGGAGTAATGGCAATAGTTCGGGTAAGAAGAACACGCTGCCAACGTTTCCACCGCAGGTTCAGGAAGCCCTACAAAACAAAAAATACATCTCATTTTTGGTGTTTAGCACCAAACCAAAAAGACAACTTACTTGATGTAAAGAAAATTCTACTCTTATCCTGATTATCTATTATACTTACAAAATTTATCATTAATTTCTAAGGAAAGAACTGCCTGGCACCCCCCCCCTGGTCTATGCTAGATACGGAAAGGAAAACCACCTGCCATGACACAGCAGGGATCTTAAAATTGTTTTTTAGGTCATACTGGTGCTAGGTAGGGTGGGTGCCAGGAAGCCTCCGGGGCTCTACCCAGAAAATGGCATTTCAATTCATTCAACGCTGGTTTTCTGTGGGGGAGCCCTGTCGGCTCCCTGGAGCTAACTATCCAAAGAGAAAAGTAAAAGGGACTTTTCTGTGAGGCAGCTGCACTGCACAACTCATAACGAAGACGAGACAACTGGCTGCAACCGCCGACCCAAGGCGACACAAGACCACTGAGGGCCATTGACTAGATATCGGGCAGCCAGGACCCTGTTCGATCCCCAAAATCCCCATGCCCGAATATCCACCAAAGACATATTTCTAAACACAGCAGCCAAAGCTGCAAACTTACAAACATGATGAGAGCGAGGGTATACCACAGGCTGGCTAGACTTGTCAATCCTGCAGACGACTTGAGAGACTGAGCCTTGGAACAGGGGAACAAGACCACCACCTTAACCTGTCCTGAAAGAGCCAAGAAAGAAAAGTCAACACAATACGACCCGAGACCGAAGACAACTTATGCAGGGAAAGGAAGTGGCGAAAAGACCACTAAGAGACCTGCTCGGTCTCTTGGGTCAATGGGGCTACCTACGAAAGGGCCAGTAACCCTTCCGAGAACCCAACTTGCGTGCAAGATGAACACCCTGCCAACCACACGAAGACAGGTCCAGAGCAGAAGCTGGCTCAGAACTGCTACCAAAGGCCCAACTCAACCAGTGTATGCCGAAGTCCTGGTACGACCTTTCCGGGAAGCACGAGAACTCGCACTCCGGATAACCAACGTATCCAAAAGAGGGAGACAATTAACACTTTCGCGCTCTCGGCGCTCAAAAAAAATCAATACCCTAGATGCTTTCGGCACTTCGCGCCCCTACGCGTAAGACCGAAAAAGTGTACACTCTTTTGACTGTCCTGACAATAATTGAAGGCGCACGTATTTAAATTTGGTATCACTGTGTTCGCAATGAAATTGTCTATAAGAGCATACCTATAAAATGCCGCCCAAGCATAAGGAGTATCAACACCAAATAAAAAACTATGCAGATCACTCGCCGAGAGCGCCAAACAGCAACAAAATGTTTCCACTCTCTTAATGGTTGCGAAGCCTACAGTTGTCCTACATCGCTAATTTTGGTATCATTGGAATCGCAATAAAATTCTCTACACGGACATATGCATATGAATGTTTAATATAGGTAATTGCCCACCCGCAAGAGTGTGGGAAGTGGAGAGTAGTTAGCCGCGAGCGCACTGGCGAAAACACAGGGGGGAAATCATGCTTGGAAAGTTTATACATTTATACGTTTCCTGACCCTACTTTTCTATGTACGTATTTCTTTTTTATACCAATGTGTTCGCAATAAAATTTTCTATAAGATGAAATGTATAACATTTGTACAAAGCATGTGTAAGAGAAGCGCCAAATATAGAACCACGTCGCTCAGTATGCGTTCACGGCAGAAACGAACGCATTGTTTTCGTTCGTTTGATGTTTCTTATGTTTATACTTGTTGAAACATTTTATAATTTGTATGACAGTGATCACAGTAAAATTCCCTACACAGACATATACATAACACATACAAATATTTCCCACGTGTTGGATATATCAATGGCTAAAGGGAACCCACTGCCACACGCCCGCCACACCCAGAGCCACACCCGCCACACCCCCAAACATACTTTGTGTTTTTTTTTTTTACTCATAGAAGTTTATGTGATATAATATTCATTCTGGTACCAAAAAATTCGCAAATAAATTCTCTACAAAACGTATATAATACAACTTCTTATAGATGATAAAAAATTCCAAATAGGTGTACTTACCCTGTCTATGTTGATTGAAGATCAACAGTTGAGCATTTTTTCTTCACTCCACCATCTTCAGGCTTCTGATCCTGAAGTTGCTCATCTGATGTTTCTTAGGTGGAGTGAAGCTGTTGCCGGTGGTTATTTTTTCTCCACCCAAAATATCTTTCTTCGGTGGTACCTTGTGTAGCAAGGCGCAGCGCACAGTGCCACATCACAAGTTTTACATCCATATATCACGTCCCTCCTTTTGCCAGACTTGTAACAAACACGGCATCTTTTTTTTTTAGCCAAGTGCACGAGTTCATGCGTCAACTTGTAGTTGAGACGTTGTTCTGAATCTATAATTCTTGTATTTTTTGGATTCACTGGAAGAATATTGTCTTCTACAGGAACCACCAAACTTGTAGTAGAATCTTCTATGAAATCAGAAACATCAAGTGGTTCTATGTCCTCAATGTCCATTTCAGAATTTGTGGTTGATGAGTGGGCTTTAGGTGTTGAGGTGAACAGAGGACGCCTAGCACCAGATGGCCCGGGTGTTGAAACTGCCGCGTCAGCAGGAGGAGCTGCGCTGGCATCTATGTCGGGAACATGTGGTATACTTGTTGTTGTTGGCCATTCCTTGCTGTTCCACGCCAATAAGGCTTTTATTCCTACTGCGTGAAACTCTAATAGTGTTAGTTTTTTTGTATCTGTTGAGTAGTGGTTATACAATGCGTATGCATTGTGCATGGCCATTTGCAGAAAATAGAAAGTGATCTTCTTGGTCCATTTGTGGGTTTTTCTTGCAAACTCATAATATTTGACCATTTGATCAAAATGATCAACACCTTTCATGAACTTATTGTAATCCACTATGGCCTTGGGTTTGTTCATTTTCACAATTTCTACACCAGTTCTCCCGTCACCTTTACGAACGCGTTTCCTGCGCTGTGCTTGAGTAGTGTCGGCATTGTGGATATTGGTAATGACAGAGACGGGGCGCTTGTCCTTCCAAACTATAACAAAGGTGTTATCCTTGCGCATGTATACGGTCGTGTCGGTTGCCATTTTACCCTTTACAACTTGTTGCAGATCCTTGGGGGCGCCACGTTGTAGTCTAAGTGTGCCACATGTGTAAACATGTGGAAGAACTTAGAAATGTGTTGGAACCGAGCAGACGACATAAACAAGTTGAAGAATCGACAATGCCACATCTGATTCGTCTGCCAGTACATCCTCATTGTAGGCATCTTCACTATGCCCATCAGTATGCACAGGGCCAAATATCGGGCCATTTCTTTCACCGACACTGGTTTCCACGTTTCTCTTGCTGACTCAGCCATGAGATGTATGACGTGTGTGGCATGCAAATTTGTTTCATACTCTAAGTATTCAACCACTGCTCTAGTGAAAAATAATTGTAAAAACTGCAATGGAGTAGCAGGTAGTGGAATTGTTAGGCCAGGGGTTGCAGTAAAGTTATCAACGATGGGAGGAGTATTGCTACGATTCCACTCATCACCCAGCCTAGCCCTCTTTGGTACCGGACACGTGCGGTCACCGCGTGGCGGGGCTGGGGCTTCTTCATCACTCTCATCCTCACTCTCACTCGAAATATCTTCATCACTTGAGGAAACCTCATAAAGAACATCATTTTCCGGTTCGTCAGCCTCCAAATCATCATCAGAAGACCCTGAAAAGGCTTCAACAACGTCGGGAATCTTGGATGGAGTGAGATTGACCCCACGATACAGATCGAAAATCCTGGCGATCTCTTCTGCTTTCCTAGATTTCCTACCTTTGTTTTGCGTTCCACTGCTTGTTCCTGGTGCAGCATCCATGTTGAAGGTATTGAATGGGTTTTAGGTACACGAGAACGGAAACGGAACGGAAATAAATGCGTAAAACGGGTCACGTTTGCCGCGAGAGGGGAGCACAGTGTGGGCACTTGGCGTGTCAACAAAACAATGGGCCGACCACGTGACTGGGTAGGCCGAGATGCCATGTGTTCGGTGAGGGAGAACGGGAATTTCATGGAGAACAATCTGAGAGTATCCCCATCCATTTCGGTTAAAAAATGGAATTTATAGAAATATTTTTTTGATTGACGAGAAAAGTAGGCAGTTATGCGGAATCGTAAGAAAAACCAGTGACGAGTTATCTCTACTCGAAAGCGCGAAAGTGTTAATATAAGCCGCCTGGAGAAACAACTGAATCCGCAAAAAACAGCAGACAAAATGGAGACAAAAAGCTTACGAGCCAGGGCCCAAGCAGAATCCACAGAGAGCGAGAGGACAGCCTGCTGACGTGCGAGGCGAGAGGCAAAAATAAGGACACCACCTCCCAGAGAATAGGCGCAAACAGCTTAAGCAACATTAAAGTCAACGCAGCAGACGACGACCCGGCAGCCAACTCCTCCACAAGCCAGCCCTTCTTGAGCTGTCCGAAAACAGCTCAAGAAGGAAAAAGAAGCGAGGCACCAAAGCCAAATGCCCAAGAGCGCAAACATCTTCCGCAGCCAAAGCAGCTGAAAAGGAAGGGACCTGGACGTGCAACTGGAGCACACCAACCTCATGAGGAAGCACAAGCATGCATTAAGATGCTCAAGCATGCCCCCCCTAAGTACACTTGCAACACCGTAGTGAGCTCTAGCCACTCAAGCATGCAGTAACGACAATGTATGCCATGCTTCCAACAAAAAGAAGGGGCAGTCTGCGAGCCATGAAGACGCTGGCACCTCGTAACATATCCAATATGGCGAAGAAGACCCGAACTCAAGGGAGACTGGGTCGAGCAGAGAGATGGAAGCCGGGTTGATCAGCATGAGGTATGCACCTAGGGCATCCCGATCCTCCTCAGGGGAATTCGAGAGGTCGAAAACCTCTGGAAGGATGCAGCCGCAGAACCCAAGGGAACCCAGAAACGACCCCCTGGGGGGGGGGGGGGAGCCGATCCCATATCAAATTCTTACAAGTGGGGCACAAAACCCCCGAACCTCTCGACAACAGACCCCGCCCCGAAGGTACTATGACCTAGGGATGGGATCCGGTCGGCCGAGAGGACAGCACACGGGACTTGTGATCCTGTGGTCCTGGGTTCGATCCCAGGCGCCGGCGAGAAACAATGGGCAGAGTTTCTTTCACCCTATGCCCCTGTTACCTAGCAGTTAAATAGGTACCTGGGTGTTAGTCAGCTGTCACGGGCTGCTTCCTGGGGGTGGAGACCTGGTCGAGGACCGGGCCTCGGGGACACTAAAAAAAAAAAAAAAACCCGAAATCATCTCAAGATAACCTCAAGATAGGTAGGATCGAAAAGGGCCAAAGCGCCCCAGGCCGCCTTCCCCCCAGCCCTAGAATCCACCAAACTAGATCCGGGGCAGAGCTGTCCTCAACACTCTCCACCCTTGAAGGAAAGGCAGAGTCCAAGGGAAAGGCATCCAAGAAAATTCCCTGCTTGAAGGGCCCAGGAGCCTCGGCGGGAGGAACCGGTTCAAAAGCCTCCGTCCCCACATCAAATGGGGCAACACCTGGAGCCGCCCGAGCCTCATCAAACAGCTAAGCCCTGCCCCAACCCCGAAACCCTCAGACGTTTGGGGGCCGGAAGCAGGGGAAGAGGAGAATGGTGAACTACACCAACAAGGGAGGACGAAGAGCACAGACAGAACCAACGTCGAAGCGACAAACGCCCCAAAGTCCAGGTCCCCAAAACGAAAACGAGGTAGCCCCTGTTTTGGTATTCAAGCAGGCAACCAACTGTGTATGTTGCAGTAACCTAAACCTAGCATGCAATGCACGAGCCGCTTGACCCCTAACCTCAGCCATAGCAGGATGGGTAACTTGGAGCACGAGCAGAGAACAAGTCTCGCAAGACTCCAGGTCAAAGGTGTCGCCGACCCAACAAGCAGCCTGATGGAGGTAATACAGGTGATTGTCGCCCTGAAACGGGAAATGAGCAACCTTAAAACTCACACAAGGTGAGATGGGACTCGGAAAACTCGCCCATCGAGGTCAACAAACTCCCGACAGGGTTTTCCAGGGCCTGCAGGGAGTTGTGTCCATATACGGAAAGCCCAGGTGTTGGACCACCAAAGACGGTTGTATCCCCATAATTGATCTGGGCAAACTGGCCCCAGTGAAGTGAGCAGCCTGGAGGACAAGAGGAGGACTGCCCTACTGACCCTAGGTAGCACTTAATGTGGATTGTGGCAGCCTCCCAACGGGCAAGAAAGCAAACTAAAGATGAAAAGAAAACTCAAAGAAGCACCATAACGCAGGGGACCAGAAAGAGTCACGGCTGCTGCGATTACGGAAACTGAGAAGCCCAACATGCCCCAACCAGCAACTAACCACCCCCTACTCAGGGCCAAATGAAAGTACCGGGACCTAAACTGACCCCAAGTGGGAGGTAGTGAACAAAGCAGTCACTACACCTTGGTACAAACTCCTGGTCACTGCCTACACACAGAAGGAACACCAGCAGGGTGAAGCCAATCAGGTTATCGAGGCCAGAGCAGGCGTCCACCCTGTAAAGCTTCAACCGACAAACTGACGCTCCTTATGCCTGCTCGGTGATGCAACCCCCTCTCCCCCTGCAAGGGAAGAGGTAGCACAAACAAGTGGAGCACGGTATGATAACATGTTGCTTTTTTTCCTTGGGGAGTTTCTCGCTTCTGTTCAGTCTTGGGTTGTAATATTTCTACCATGAGGGGTGTGTTTTGAAGCACCTACCCCTTTCTGGGTGCTCAACCCCAGTCGATAGCAGACATGAATACTTTCATACATGTGAGTTTCATAGGCCATTGCTCCCTTCGCCTCTCTGAGGGGACCATGTTCTAGCTAGTGGTCCCCAGTAGGCATGACAACTTCATATGACTGAAGCCCCCATACTAATATTAACTAATATCAGTCTAATAGCTCCAGGGGACCCGACAGGGCTTCCCCATAGAATGTTTAAAAATTCATAAACCCTTTCAAACATTAATTGGCACACAAAGGATCACCTATTAAAGAGCTCCCACATATTTTTGGTAGTCCTACCTGGTGACTACATCTGACAGGACAATCAACCTGAGCCCCTAAACAAACCACCAAAGTCCAACAAAGTAGGGACAGAAGGTATGGTTAAGGAGCAACGAAGTGACTTGCTCAGAAGAGCACTTAGTATACAGTCAGCCCATGCTTTACAAGAGCAGTATTGTAAAACAGATTTGGTGGTTCTCTGTTATCACTTTTACACAAAGATTTAAAGTGAGTGCGAGTTGCTCTTTGTTGCATTAGTTATTAAATGATCTGTGGGTGTACTGCCTAGTTGGCAATGTCTCAGGCTCTATAAACATGTAATAATTCTTATCTTACAAACACTTAGTATTCCTACATCAATGCACCTCTTAATTTACATGCATTTATAATGGGTGCAAAGTAATGGAGGTATTAAATATTAAGGTTCAAGTTGGTGTTTAATTGAGCAAAGAATTGAAGAAATTTAACATTTGGAAGCTCTAAAACATAACCAAATTTGTTTCCATATAAATGCATTTACGTTAAATTTGTGTGGATTTTGCTTCAGAAGGATTTTTTTTTTTTTTTACAAATTTAAGCCCTTCACAATTCAAAGGCCACCTTTACTCAGTTCAATTTCTGAGCTACACCAATCAATTGTTCCTTAACCCATTGGGAATTAGAGAACACAGGGGTAATGACATGGTTACTATCATGGAACGGAAAACTTTATGATGGGTAAAATTATCAGGCTGAAACAATGAAAAACTGGTAACGTGATCAGAATTGGAAGCATTCCTTAATTTACCAGAGGGCCACCATCTTCCATTGCCTGTGAAAGATCGTACATTATTCCTGAGGATTTTTTCCATGTATATTTTGTACTCAATATTTACGGCCATAGTGGGTAGGGATTATAAAGCTAGAAATCATTAAAATAGCAAAGTTATTTAATAGAAACATAAATTATCTAAGCAAAAAACACTTGCCTCCATTACAAACTGTCCAACGTATGTACCAGTCATGGTTGAGCTCTGCCCAGCTGCCAGAATGCCTATAGACCAGATATACATACACGCTGCTCCAAACGTACACCCAAGGAATACTCCAGCTTTGTAGATGTCAGCATCTACTAGTTCACCATCCTCCTGTAACATGATTATCAGCATGTAAAGGCATACAACATATACTGGAAGTCAATTTTATAAGATATGTCAATACTGAAGTGATTAAAATACCTTCACATTCTCAGGAAGTGCCTGGCCCACAAAACTGCCCCTCACCCTTCCCCACACTCCTAAGTGATTTAAGTGTAAGTGGCTGGCAGTATGCTGAATATGAATGTTTATAAACTAATTGCACAGCTGTTTATTACTGTATATTTATATGTTTTAGATAAAAAAGAGCAACCATCTGTAAATAAATAATATATATATTGTATATATGTTTGTATCCTTGGGCAACAGGCATTCCTTTAAGCATATTTGGTTATATTAAGACCAACAATACCAGCAATGTGGTCTTTAGTGTAAGCTTTCTATGCTTTTATTCTCTTAGTGTCAGGATTAAGAAGAGTAATCAAGTTACCAAAATTCATGGCAAAGATCTCTAGTAATTATTGAAGAATTTCTTTTCTACACCGTTTCATTTCACTTTAGAATATCTTCAGGTAAAGAATGAATACACAAAGGTGCAATTTTAGGTTAAATGCACATGTGGAAGAGGTAAAGTTGTGTGGGGTGAGGTAAAGGTCGAAGTAATATAGGAGCAAACAAACTTAAAGTAAGGAAGAGGGGAATAATGGGAAAGGAAGTCAATCAAACATTGGGTAAGCGGTGGGCGGGGAGAACTCGGTAGAGATGCATTACCTAAGTGTAGGTACAGGATGAGAGCAACGCTCGTGGTGTCCCGTTGCCAGCACACTGTCATATAACGCTTTGAAACTACTGACGGTCTTGGCCTCCACCATCTTCTCACCTAACTTGCTCCAACCGTCTACCGTCTAATGTCATCGTTATCTGGTGCTGTTTGACAAGATCTGGATCCGAGTATCAACACAGGACAGAACACGAAACAATGGATATAAATTGGATAAGTTTAGATTTAGGAAAGACTTGGGTAAATACTGGTTCAGTAACAGGGTTGTTGATTTGTGGAACCAATTGCCGCGTAACATTGTGGAGGTGGGGTCCCTCGATTGTTTCAAGCACGGGTTGGACAAGTATATGAGTGGGATTGGGTGGTTATAGAATAGGAGCTGCCTCGTATGGGCCAATAGGCCTTCTGCAGTTACCTTTGTTCTTATGTTCTTATGTTCTTATGAGTGTAGCAAAGTCCACAGGCACGTTCATTAACAGGGATTCCACGTCTAGAGATGCTATGATCCCTTCAGGTTTAGTGTTCTTCACTATGTCTAAGAAATCAGCAACTGATTTCAAGCTGCAGTTATATTACACACACAGTCATTTAGCTAGATTATATGTGGATATAGAGATCTGTAGGGTTTAGGCAGATCCCTACACCCACGTATAATCTAGCTAAGCAAGTCAACACTATACTGACTCCAGATGTGTCAAATAACTACAGCTTGGAAATCAGTCGCCCAACCAAGCCAATATACATCTGAAAACTCTTGACCCCTGAAGAATTGGAACCTGGTCAGCCAGGGTCTCCATGTCCCAGCAGTCCCGTGCTGTAACCACTCGGCCAGTGACTCAAAAGTACTGGGAAGTCGGGAGACCTACATGCACCCAACACCATTGTCAGGTGCTTTGGGGCCATTTAAGCTTTACACACACATATGTATATATACATGTATGTAATGGAGGTATGTATGTATATAAAGAAAAAAAATAAAGGGTGGGGGGGGGGGAAATGAGGTAGTACAAAACATGGAAACTGCACTGGAGGGGAGACCCAAAAATCCCCTCTAATGCATTGTATGTACATTTTCCTGAGGCTATGGGTGCCACCTCTTCTTCCTGCCAGAGGTGGTACTCCCCCCCCCTTAAATATGATTTATGAGTGGTTAATCCAAGAATATAAAGGACTGAGTGAAGGACAGGTTGATAAGAGGGAGATGTAACCAAATGTATATATATATTCCTGTGTATATGGAGAATGTTAAATAAACAGTGACAGATGATTAAAATAGAAATAGTGACATTGTAAGAATACAGTCCTAACAAGTAAGATATAATGAACTAAGCAGTCTCGTATACTTACGGGAATATTTTAGCATGGGTGCTGTTGGCAGATACGCAGCTGTCATGCTGAAAAAGAAGTGCAAAATAATAGTGAAGAATATGCAGGTTTGTCATTTATAGTATAGGGCTTTGCTTGTTTTTTCCATCGGTACAACACTTCACACCATAAATACTTAAAAAGAAAACAGCCATGAATATTTGGGGAATTGTCAAGCTATTTACTGCTAGGCAAACGCAGACACGAGGTGAGGGGCAGTGTGTCTAAACAATAACAGACGAAAAAGCATTATGTAACGAGCAGCAAATGTATATTTAAGAGATTCATATTCATTCACAATATCTTCCATACACATTACTATCATGGAAATTAGGAGCAAGACTCTCCAGCGAGGTAGCCACAGTAGTACATCGGATGAAATTCACTGTTTTTTAAAAACTAAATATCAATAATTCAATCAATTCATACAAAATGAATCACATTCTGTCCTCTTCAGCAACTCCATGTTATAAGTTACGTATCAATGTCTTCACCTACACATACACACACACACACATAGGTAATCACACTTAGGTAATTTACACTCACCATAATCCTGTAGAGGTTAAGGCATTAAATGGTGCAAAAAGTAGAAAATAGAGATGTGAGCGAAATAATCACTACGTACACAGTAACAGAAATCAATAAAATTGATAGGGAAGAATTCCCGGCCAGAACTTCAAGAACCAGACGCACTAATATTTCTCTTCCAACAACACTGTGTGGTGTTATTACGCTACATACACACATTATATATAAATATCTACCTGTTTTATTCATCATACTTGTACAAATAAACTGGTATGGTGCCCAAAGACCATCGTGGTAACCAGTAAACAACACCGTCGTCTGCACGGTGGCGTCGTGCAGACGACGCCACCGCTCTCACCAAAATGGCGGCTCCAAACCTTCTCTTGCTGTTTATACCCTCTATACGCACGTTATATATAAGTATCTACATTTGTGTTCACCATAGCGAACCACTAAGCTGGTATGGTGAGTGCAGTCAATAAAAGGTGGCCACACACAGTCAAAAGACATCGCCACCACCCTCCCTCCCACAGCATTACACCTCCTTCCATGGCGCACAGCGCTAAATATCACCACAATCCTGCTCTTATCAGAACCCTGGTCAGTTTTATCACAGTCAGGGGTCTTCTGTAATAATATCATCGCTACATAATAGCATTTTTATAATTTGGCATTTTTAGGCGATGCTGTGGTCACAAGCTGAACAGCAGTGCTGTTAGCTAATGCTGCGTGCGTCAGGCTTGGTTGCTCACTCAATACTGAGGCCAAAAACACCCGGGAGTTTGGCCCACGATTTTTTAAAAAAATGGCGTCTGTTTACAAGAGCCCTGATGAAGGTGTGGTGAACCCTGTGTATCCGCGGGCTGTTTAAATCTTGCGTAGTACTCCAACACATCATATGACGTGATGCGCAGTTTACTGGTACAACGTCCAGCACGTCATATGACGTGATGCGCACTTTAAGGGTTAAGCATATTTGGTTATATTAAGACCAACAATACCAGCAATGTGGTCTTTAGTGTAAGCTTTCTATGCTTTTATTCTCTTAGTGTCAGGATTAAGAAGAGTAATCAAGTTACCAAAATTCATGGCAAAGATCTCTAGTAATTATTGAAGAATTTCTTTTCTACACCGTTTCATTTCACTTTAGAATATCTTCAGGTAAAGAATGAATACACAAAGGTGCAATTTTAGGTTAAATGCACATGTGGAAGAGGTAAAGTTGTGTGGGGTGAGGTAAAGGTCGAAGTAATATAGGAGCAAACAAACTTAAAGTAAGGAAGAGGGGAATAATGGGAAAGGAAGTCAATCAAACATTGGGTAAGCGGTGGGCGGGGAGAACTCGGTAGAGATGCAATTACCTAAGTGTAGTTACAGGATGAGAGCAACGCTCGTGGTGTCCCGTCTTCCCAGCACACTGTCATATAACGCTTTGAAACTACTGACGGTCTTGGCCTCCACCATCTTCTCACCTAACTTGCTCCAACCGTCTACCGTCTAATGTCATCGTTATCTGGTGCTGTTTGACAAGATCTGGATCCGAGTGTAGCAAAGTCCACAGGCACGTTCATTAACAGGGATTCCACGTCTAGAGATGCTATGATCCCTTCAGGTTTAGTGTTCTTCACTATGTCTAAGAAATCAGCAACTGATTTCAAGCTGCAGTTATATTACACACACAGTCATTTAGCTAGATTATATGTGGATATAGAGATCTGTAGGGTTTAGGCAGATCCCTACACCCACGTATAATCTAGCTAAGCAAGTCAACACTATACTGACTCCAGATGTGTCAAATAACTACAGCTTGGAAATCAGTCGCCCAACCAAGCCAATATACATCTGAAAACTCTTGACCCCTGAAGAATTGGAACCTGGTCAGCCAGGGTCTCCATGTCCCAGCAGTCCCGTGCTGTAACCACTCGGCCAGTGACTCAAAAGTACTGGGAAGTCGGGAGACCTACATGCACCCAACACCATTGTCAGGTGCTTTGGGGCCATTTAAGCTTTACACACACATATGTATATATACATGTATGTAATGGAGGTATGTATGTATATAAAGAAAAAAAATAAAGGGTGGGGGGGGGGGGAAATGAGGTAGTACAAAACATGGAAACTGCACTGGAGGGGAGACCCAAAAATCCCCTCTAATGCATTGTATGTACATTTTCCTGAGGCTATGGGTGCCACCTCTTCTTCCTGCCAGAGGTGGTACTCCCCCCCCCCCTTAAATATGATTTATGAGTGGTTAATCCAAGAATATAAAGGACTGAGTGAAGGACAGGTTGATAAGAGGGAGATGTAACCAAGTGTATATATATATTCCTGTGTATATGGAGAATGTTAAATAAACAGTGACAGATGATTAAAATAGAAATAGTGACATTGTAAGAATACAGTCCTAACAAGTAAGATATAATGAACTAAGCAGTCTCGTATACTTACCGGGAATATTTTAGCATGGGTGCTGTTGGCAGATACGCAGCTGTCATGCTGAAAAAGAAGTGCAAAATAATAGTGAAGAATATGCAGGTTTGTCATTTATAGTATAGGGCTTTGCTTGTTTTTTCCATCGGTACAACACTTCACACCATAAATACTTAAAAAGAAAACAGCCATGAATATTTGGGGAATTGTCAAGCTATTTACTGCTAGGCAAACGCAGACACGAGGTGAGGGGCAGTGTGTCTAAACAATAACAGACGAAAAAGCATTATGTAACGAGCAGCAAATGTATATTTAAGAGATTCATATTCATTCACAATATCTTCCATACACATTACTATCATGGAAATTAGGAGCAAGACTCTCCAGCGAGGTAGCCACAGTAGTACATCGGATGAAATTCACTGTTTTTTAAAAACTAAATATCAATAATTCAATCAATTCATACAAAATGAATCACATTCTGTCCTCTTCAGCAACTCCATGTTATAAGTTACGTACTCAATGTCTTCACCTACACATACACACACACACTAGGTAATCACACTTAGGTAATTTACACTCACCATATATCCCTTAGAGGTTAGAGGCATTAAATATGCAAAAAGTAGAAAATAGAAGAAAAAGAGACGAAATAATCACTACGTACAAAATAGTAACAGAAATCAATAAAATTGATAGGGAAGAATTCCCGAGGCCCAGAACTTCAAGAACAAGAGGTCATTGATTTAAACTAACCAAATAAAGCTGCCGGAGAAATATAAGAAAAATCACTTTTGTAAGCAGAGTGGTAGACAGTCGGAACAAGTTAAGTGAGAAGGTGGCGGAGGCCAAGACCGTCAGTAGTTTCAAAGCATTATATGACAAAGTGCTGGGAAGTCGGGACACCACGAGCGTAACTCTCATCCTGTAACTACACTTAGGTAATTACACACACACACACACACACACACTAGGTGAGTACACATTCATTATTTAATTACTTCAACATGACCTTACCATCAGAGTGCAATGCTCACTCTCAATCTTACAATTTACAGCCATTCCCACTCCATGGTCTTCCATTACAATTTCACTCTTTATCCTACCTATTCTTACATGTACACATACTATTCAGATTGTACATTTCTAATGTTCTAACTCTAGGGTTCTCACGCTCATGCCAAACTAGTATATTAATTGTACACGAGAAGAGAAACAAAGCATCAGATCTCTATATTATTCATCCTTTAAAAAAAAAAAAAAAACTTTCAATACACAAGCATCTTTCCTTATGTTACATGCATTATCTCCACTGGTGCAAATTCCTCTAATCAATTATACATAATAACATTTATCAAAGAAATTATATGTATCTAAGTATTGCATTACACAATAGTAACTCCAAATTTGGTAAATCTTTAAAAAATGACAAAACTTACGACTTCTTGATTAGTGACTCCATAAAGTCCTTTGGCAAACACTGCTACCACAAACACATTGATGATGAATGAACAGAGAAGAGCAATACAAGCTTCAATGAAGAAGTACTTGTTGGCTTCCTTAACATCATCTTTGTTTTTGCGGTCCACATCTCGTGACTGCCAGAAACAGAATATTTCATTAGTAAAAATAAACAGTTTGTAGCTATTACAGCATTATACTTGCAGATAAAATGAATCTACTTTACTAATTTCAACATGCAAGCAGACATACATATGTGCATAAATATGTTCATGTACGTATATCATACCTAATAGTGGTTCATATTGGCCCATATGACACACACACACCACAAACAACATATTTCTGAGTGATAAACACACACATTTCTCTTTTTGGTAACCAAGATATCATGCTCCCATGCAAATATCGTTATTGTCCCGGTTCATGCAGTCATTTTCACCTTGAGGGGTACAATTTCTACTTCTATTTTCTGTACTTTCCAGGGAGCAGACCTATTACACTGTCAAGAGGGTTTGCAGCAGGCTAGTATATCGTATTCCCTGAAGTCATTAGCCAAACCTCTTTTGTAGCATGTCTCTGTTTCCTGAAAGTGTATACGTCATTCAAGCAATTCTGAACGCTTTGAAAGTGCTTATTCCCTCCTTTCCTCATGAAGTGAATAGAAACTCTAGAGGTAATGTCAAAGACTATCATACACAATGTAAATTTAATTCCATTCTCATTATTTCAATCATTGCACTTCTTTGACATCCAAGTATAATGCTCATAGCTTCGTTCGGTACCAGCTCTAAGTTTTTTAATTCTGCCTTGCCCTCTGTAAGACAAAATGGGTACTGCATAGTCTATCAGGGACTGAACAGTGCTTATGTATAACATCTGTAAGATAGGTACCCTAACACCTTTACCAGAAAATGCTAGTGCCTTGAGAGGATGCAATTGCACTTTACTTAAGATGCCGATATGATATATTTCAGCATTTTTACTCTCACATGTGTACCCAATATATATGCCCAGATACGTGTACTTCTGAGCACAGCTCAGTTCCTTACCATTTAGAGTAAGTGTTATATTTCTTCAAAACCACACTCATATTTAGTTTTGTCTGCATTTAACTAAATGTGGAGGTAGAGCCAAAAACTGATCAGGCAATTAAACTTAAAAAATCTCTAGGAGAAACCTCCAAAGAGGTCTCTCAAAATAAACACCCTTGGCATTGACAGCTTGTGACAAAGCTAAAAACCAAGAGTTGACCATTATATGCCAAAAAAATGGTCTCAACTCATAGTCCACATAGAAGTGTAGTGCATAAAATTCCTCCATGTAGAACCATTAGTAAACTTGAAAGTATGAAAGATTTGTTAATTCTAAGAATTTTAAAATAACATTAGAATAGGGGAATTTGCATCATACATAAATTTGTTCATACATGTATTTTAACAATAGTGAACAATTCCATCTTACCTTCACAAGAGCAGAATGCAAATATAGGTTATGAGGCATTATAACAGCTCCGACAATGCCAACAGCCTGAAGGAGTGCCCGTGTGTCACAATTATAGCACCCTGGGATAAACAGTCCTTTCAGCACCTGCAGCTGGTCGGGCTTGGCAACGCCATATTCGTACCCAAATGTAACAGCCATCACAAAAATGAGAAAGCCAAAGAAGGCCTCTAGCTTGCGTAGCCCATAGCGGTCCAGAGCAAGAAAAGTGAAGGTGTCTATAATGGTGATCAGAACTCCGCCCCACAAAGGTATTCTGTTCAAATACAAAATAGGGATTTTTATCCTAATCTGATATTAGAAATAATTACATCAACTAAATCAATGACTTAAGTTCATTTATTAATTCATAACACTAATCAAGAATATGAAAGTGATGATTTATACACGATCTAAACTCAAAATACAAATAATTGAGTACCATACATAAAACTAGCATGGTATAATAAAGAGCTGCAATTTCTTCAAACTGTTTGTACATATTTTTTTCCTGTAGTATAACAAACCAAGAACCCATAACATCACTTTCCAAAAAACTTATTGGCAATGTTTCAATTAAGGAAATGGGTCTGTGCTCTCCTTGACAAATAATAACCTTAGAACACAAGTAGCAACAGACATGCCACATCTAAAAGGATTCCTCTATATACTTCTTTCTATAACCTTCTGTTTTTGCTATATCTGTATCTGACTGACTACTCATCTCTCTCTCACTTGTAATATCTCTGTATGATTATTTATCTGTGAATATTCTGTACATAATTAAATTACTCTTTCTAAATAACTGGAATTAAACCAAATATAAAAGTAATGAAATATGCCAAATATCTCGCTAGAATTCACTTGTGTTGACAGAACAACAGAACAAAAAAAAGTTGCACTTTTGATTACCTAATGTGTAACACACTTTAACATGAACTTTACAATCTGACTTAATTCTGCCTGATAAAATTATACACGATACAAAAAGACTCTCAACTTACGCTTCATTTGACAGCAGGTAAAGAGCAATGGAGGTTCCAATAACTTCTTGCATATCAGATCCAATGATGGCAATCTCAACCATGATCCAGACCATGATGCGGGGAACACGTGGATAATAACGGTAGCACACCTCGGCCAAGTGGAGGCCCGTCACCGTGCCCAAACGGGCAGAAAGACGCTGCATTACTAGGCCAAGGATAGTTGCCCACATTAGCACCCAAAGAAGCTGTTAAAATATTGTATGACATTAGGTAGCCACTTAATATAAATACAGCACATACATTCTTCTCAGAGCTAAAAATTAGTAAATGAAGTTAATAATGTAGCTGGAAATACAGTATAGGGGCAGCAAAAATATTTTGCAATTTGGCAGTAATATGGTGAAGTTTGAAAATGTTAGCAACTAAGTTGAATACATGTACCAGTATATGGGTATTTGTTAAGAGTTAATTTGACAAATGTGATATTATTTCTTGTGAGTTTAAAGCACAGGATGGCATACAAGAAAATTACTGTACATAGTTTGGTAAAAATGAGTATCAGCATGTAACAAATTTTCCTTCCATAAGCCATAATAACAAAGTTGGCCAATATATTTAATCATGGGGACAAGATTATTCAGAATGACCCCTGATCAGGATGACCTATAGATGCCACTACTGAGGCAATTGTAGCCCTAAATCAAATGCTTAATTATAGCATTTGACTATAATTAAGGTTTGGGGATATCTAAGGTTTCACAGAGGAACACACAGGCTTGGGGATATCTAAGGTTTCTGCAATTTTCTAAATATTTCAGCACTTTGGTTAAACAGTAGAGAAGGGCCTCTTATGATCCCCAAGGGTTGTCTGAAGCAGATCCAGCCAACTTTCTGTCCTATCTGACGACACCAGATGGGATCGTCATTGGATCTTAACACAAGGTCCCAATGGAATCTTGTGGAAAGGACTTAAAGAACAAAGAAAGAGATCTAGGGGTGGTTCTCAATAGTAGACTGTCAGCTGAGGAACACACAAATGGCATTGTGGGAGGTGAAATTATATGGAGGTGAAATACTAAAGAAACTGTTCAAGACTTTTGTGAGACCAAAATAGGAACATGCAGCAAGTGTATGGTGCAAGGTGTAAAGGCACGCTACAAAATGGCTTCCAGAACTGAAAAACAAGAGTTATTAAAAGAGGCTACAGTCATTAAATATGCCAAAACTAGAAGATAGAATAAAGAGAGGCGATATGATCACCACTTACAAAATAATAGCAGGAATTTACCAAATTAACAAAGAGGAATTCCTGAAACCAGCAACTGCGAGAACAAGAGGTCATAGATTCAAGCTAAGGAAACAAAGGATACCAAAAAAATATTAGAAAATTTTCTTTTGCAGAGTTGATAGATGGTTGAAACAAGTTAAGCGAGTGTTGGAGGTCAAAAACATCAGTAGTTCAAAGCATTATATGACAGTGTTGGGAAGATGGGACACCATGAGCATAGCTCTCATCCTGTAACTACACATATGAAATTACAACAATGGAATCCAAACAACAGTAGCATCCAAAATCTTCTCACACTAACATTTCAGAAGTGGACCTTCATCTGTAAGATTATGCCATAATGTTATAGAATGCCAAAGGGATTCTGCTGATTGACTGCCCGAGTGCTTCAGGTAATGGAGGGTGAGAGTTTATAGTGCAAGTGGAGTGGGTCGTGCTTACCTATCCATGACTATGGAGGAGTAAGACTCTTTATACCCCCCCCCCCCCCACCCATTTAAAGTCATGTATTACCCATTGCACCAATTACCTCTCTTAATATAAACATTTCATCATATTTTCTTTTTTAAGTTGTGGATAGAATTGGTTTCAACAACCTCTTCCCTCAATGCATTCCACTTGTTTACCATCTGTACAAGGAAGAACTTCCTTGCATCTCAACTCAATTGTGTCCAGCTTCCACTAATGTCTTAATGCCCTACCTCTTTTTAATATAAATAGGCTTTCTCTGTACATGAATGGGTGCTGTGTGGATGGGTGCTTGCTTTGCTCCATACAAGCATTTCCTTACAAATATCTGGCTTATCTATGTCTCCAACTTACATCTGTGCCCCTCTGTTCTGCTGTCCATCACCTGGAATAAGATTGCATCTATCCACTTTGTTTATCACTCTCTTATCTTGTATGTAGTGATCACATTAGCTCTTGTTCTTCTCTCTTCCAGTGTCATTAGATTTATTTCTCTTAACCTGTCCTTGCACCTCATCTCGCCTTATCAGCTAGAACAGAAAATTTCTGGACTAGACTAATGTATGCCCTGCACTCTGGCTTAAACTTTAAACACTGCCTCACAGCTTATATCATGTTCCTTGCAGACCCCCTCCCTGTCACTTTGTGAATATACAGTATTTGACATTGTGTTTCTGCATAACAATTTGGTTCTTAAAGGTTTATTGTCTTTTCACAGCCATATTATTCATAGCTGATCTTGGGCTTTAGCTCCTATCCAGTCTTACACTGTCTCTGTTTTCCATGTAACCATAGTTTACAGATTTTTAGCTCTCATTAGTGCCTACCCAACCACTTGGTCTGGACTGTAGAGCGACAGTCTCGCTTCGTGAAGGTCGGTGTTCAATCCCCGACCGTCCAAGTGGTTGGGCACCATTCCTTCCCCTCCGTCCCATCCCAAATCCTTATCCTGACCCCTTCCAAGTGCTATATAGTCATAATGGCTTGGTGCTTTCACTTGATAGTTACCTTCCCCTCCCTTCTTATTAGTGCCTCCTGTTTGCTTTAGTACTCTGATAAGTATACTAATTCAAAGTCTTCAAATTGTCTTTCTTTATCTCCTTGCACTGTCCATTAAACCATGGGTTAATCTGGCTCTTTTACTACTTACATCTTTTAATTTGTTATCCTCCTATCCAGCTCATTCTCTCACTAGAATTCCTGTAGGAAATCTCTCATTGTCCAGAAGTCTTGCCTGCCTCTGGGGCTATTATGAATCCCACTCTCCACCAACTTAACCATGTGCATTATAAGCTGCACATAACATAGTTATGAAGTATCTACCAATTTTCCCCGTCCATGTGTGGGGCAGGGCAGGCGGTGCGGGTGGGGCAGGGCAGGCAGTGTCGGTAGGGCAGGGCAGGACAGGCGGTGAGGGTGGGGAAGGACAGGGCAAGGCAGGCGGTGCGGGTGGGGCAGGGGAAGGCAGGCAGTGCGGGTGGGGCAGGGCAGGGCAGGGCAGGCGGTGCGGGTGGGGCAGGGCAGGGCAGGCGGTGCGGGTGGGGCAGGGCAGGGCAGGCGGTGCGGGTGGGGCAGGGCAGGGCAGGCGGTGCGGGTGGGGCAGGGCAGGGCAGGCGGTGCGGGTGGGGCAGGCCAGAGCAGGGCAGGTGGGGCAGGGCAGAGCAGGGCAGGCAGTGCAGGGGTGGGGCAGGGCAGGGCAGGCGGTGCGGGTGGGGCAGGGCAGGGCAGGGCGGCGGTGGGGGGGCAGGGCAGGGCAGGGCAGGCGGTGCGGGTGGGGCAGGGCAGGGCAGGGCAGGCGGTGCGGGTGGGGCAGGGCAGGGCAGGCGGTGCGGTTGGGGCAGGGCAGGGCAGGCGGTGCGGTGGGGCAGGGCAGGGCAGGCGGTGTGGGTGGGGCAGGGCAGGGCAGGCGGTGCGGGTGAGGTTGGGCAGGTGTTGCGGGTGAGGTTGGGCAGGTGTTGCGGGTGAGGTTGGGCAGGTGTTGCGGGTGAGGTTGGGCAGGTGTTGCGGGCGAGGTAAGACAGGTGGTGTGGGTGAGGTAAGACAGGCGGTGTAGGTGGGACAAGCCAGAAATCTGGTAAATAAATGAAAACAATTTATTTAATAAATGAAAACAATTTATTTAATAAATGAAAACCATTTATTTAATAAACAAAAACCAGATAAAGCCTGTATATAAAAACTATAACAGAGGATCAATCAAATTATTATAGGCCAGCCTCATCAAACTGAATTGTGAAAAAGCGAGTTGAAAAACATAAAAAAAAAAAACATTCAAGTGCTCTAAAACAATGGTTATATAAACTTTCTGTAGCACTAAAGACTTATAGACTCTCACCTTATAGCTAGCAGCAGCTCCTGACTGTAGGTCTGACTCAATGTTTCCTGGGTCAAGGTAGGCGATACTCATGAGAAATCCTGGACCCGTAAACGCCCAAAGCTTTCGAAAGCTGAATAGTTTCTGAAGAAAACAAACCAACAAACGGGTGTAGGATCCATATAACAGTAAGTATATTTATAGTACACTAATATACTATCAAATAATGGTGAACTATTTTGAATATGTAATACCATTACAACGCATCTGATTATAATATTTCGGAAAGTCTTAAAGTTTTAATATATAATTAGAAAGTAATGTTAAATTAGCAAAAAATTTAACATTAAATTCAACCGAGATAAATGAGTACTGTAAGCATGTATTATTACCAGTAAAAATTACAAATTAATATTAAGCTAATACAGTAATAAACATACTGTATGATATACTGTACAATATTGAATTTCAAATAAAATACAATCTAAAACTTATTAAATATACAATATACGTACATGAATTAACCTGCAAATATAAAGGAGTAATTGGACTTGTTATATACAAATGATTAAACAAATTGATTAATTATAAATCTAAAAGAACAAAAATAATTAATAATTGTATAAAGATACAGTATTTGACTGTCAAATGTAATCTATGTACAGTACTGTATTTATTGCAGTTCTCTGAACAAAATGCTTAGAGATTTACAGAATGTAGACAAGTTGAAAATAGTATTGATTTGCAAAAAGAAGAATGTTAAGAATGAATAAGGGGCAAAATTTGTGGTGGTGAAGAGAGAAGGAAATGGTATGAAATAAACCAAGCCTAGAATGCAATGTGACATACTTTTCTGGTGTGTTTTCAGTAGGCCCAGTAGGTGGGTCTTTAAAACCCCACCCTTGTCTACAAGGAGCCACAAACAGAATCTGACACTACATATAAGAGGTGAGAGGAAGCACGAGAACCAGAGATTAACCCAAGACTGAGAAAACATACTATACTGTACTTAAATGTTCTTCAGGAAAGTGGCTTATTAAGTTGTGCTCATGCTATTGTGTGTTTGTGTGTTCTCGGTTATGGGTTGAGCTCTGATCCACCAAGCTTCTCCCTTGCTTTGTGGCGTGCCAGAGTGTCCTTCTGGTTCCCAGTAGACAAGGATGGGTCATTGAGGCCTCTGGTACCTCTCCCTAAGGCATGACTCCACCAACTTGGGGAAAGTGTACAGAAAAAATACAGAACAAAGAAAACATTTAGTGACGAAAATGAAAGAGAAAAAGTACCGTTAGTACTACAGTATACTGAACTTACATTTTCAACTTCAGGAATATGAATCCTCTCGTCAGCAAAATATGTGTCAAAATTTTCCTCCCCTGGGGACAGCATTGTGTGCTCTGTGAGTGTGGCAGTGCTGTTTGTGGTGCTGGTGGGAGTTGGAGGCCAAGTGGACTGATGGGTAGTATTAGTCGAGGCCTCCGGTGAGCCGCTAGTGCAACTTTTATTTTCAACTTGTTCATTTTTGGTATTCATTGTTGCTACTATATTCTGAAACATAGCAAATAATTTTTTTTTAATTATATAGTAACAAGAAATTATATGAATAGGAAAAAGCCAAAATCACAACTGATAGCTAAAACAAAACATTGTCACAGATACAAAACATTGTCAAAAAGACAAATTGTCTCATTACATGGGTCGCCAATGTAGAGGCAGGCTCCGTGCTCTCAAGGCTGTGGCAGGCTACCATCCAAGCTATGGTGCAAATGTGAGAATTGTCAAAATGATGTATCTCTCATATATTAGGTCTCTGATTGATTATGCTGCACCCATGCTTGCTCTAGTGCCTGAGAGAATGCTTGGAGGGCTGGAAAAGATGCAAAACGAAGCTATGAGGATAATCCTCAGATGCCCCCGTACAACTAAATTACTAAACATGAGGAAAGAATTGAATATTTCATGTGTAAGTGATCATATCACTGAAATTAATGCTTTAATTGGTATCAAGATGCCTAGGCTAACCCACCCTAACCCCTGCACTGAAGCCCTCCAAGCCTTCCTCCTTGAAGGTCAGCATCCTTCCAAATGGATTACCAAAACTGCCAATGTTCTCAGAATGTATAACTTTCATCACCCCTACCAAGAGAGACAACAACAGCACTTTCCTGCCCCATGGGAGATCACTCCTTTCCAAATTACTGTCCCCCCTTTCCCACCCAAGAAGCTGATTAGAGAAGAACAAGCCTTGCTTCGACAAGAAGCAAAGTACAATGCCTTAAGCCAAATTGATGCTTTAGTCAGAGAGCGCTCCCTTTCCCAGATTATTTACACTGATGGATCCTCAGGTGATAGTTTTCTATCTAGAACCACTCCTAGATCTCTTTCTTTATCAGAATTCTTTAAAGATTTCTCACATAATATATAGGTTGTGTGGGGTCTATGTTCTCCTATTCCACATTCCATAACATGACATTTATTAACATTAAATTCCATTTGCCAAGTGGTGCTCCATATACTTATTTTGTCCAGGTCTTCTTGAAGGGCATGACAGTCATCTAAATTCCTTATCCTTCCTATTATCTTAGCATCATCAGCAAACATGTTCATATAATTCTGTATACCAACTGGTAGATCATTTATGTACACAATAAACATCACTGGTGCAAGAACTGAACCCTGTGGTACTCCACTTGTGACATTTCTCCATTCCGATACATTGCCTCTGATTACTGCCCTCATTTTTCTATCAGTCAGAAAATTTTTCATCCATGATAGAAGCTTACCTGTCACCCCTCCAATATTTTCCAGTTTCCAGAACAACCTCTTATGTGGAACTCTGTCGAAAGCCTTTTTTAGGTCCAGATAGATGCAGTCAACCCAACCATCTCTTTCCTGTAATATCTCTGTGGCTCGATCATAGAAACTGAGTAAATTCGATACACAGGATCTTCCAGATCGAAAACCATACTGTCTGTCTGATATTATATCATTTCTCTCTAGGTGTTCTACCCATTTAGTTTTGATTAGTTTTTCCAATACTTTCACTATTACACTTGTCAATGATACAGGTCTATAATTGAGGGGGTCTTCCCTGCTGCCACTTTTGTAGATTGGAACTATGTTAGCCTGTTTCCACCCGTCTGCTACGATTCCTGTACACAGGGATGCCTGAAAGATCAGGTGAAGTGATGCTGAGCTCAGATGCACATTCTCTTCTCCCATGGTGAAACGCCATCTGGGCCAGCTGCTTTGTTCTTACCGAGCTCCTTGAGCATTTTTTCCACTTCGTCTCTAGACACCTCTATGTGTTCTATGTTGTTCTCTGGAATTCTTATTGTATCTGGTTCCCTAAAGATTTCATTTTGTACAAACACACTTTGGATAGAATAGACCTGGTTCTGTTTTACATTTGTCCGCAATCCCTTTTTCAAAATTTCTTTCTGCCTCTCTCCTCACTGCCGTGTAGTTGTTTCTCGCATCTTTGTATCGCTGGTATGTTTGGGGGTTCGGCCTCTTCCTGTATTGATTCCATTTTTGTGTCTTTCGGTCTCTAGCCCTCTCGCAATTTCTATTGAACCAATCCTGTTTCCTAGTTCTGCATCTCTGTTTTGGTATAATTTTTTTGTGCCTTTATCATATATTTCACAAAACTTGCCATACATCTCATTCACTTCCTTGCCTAGCATCAAGTCTGTCCAATTATACTCACTAAAAAATTTCTAAGGTCACCATAATGTCCTCTCCTGAAGTCTGGTTTTTCAACTGCTTCAACCTCCTTATTTTCTTCCAGCTTATAACGCATTGCATACTTTATTCCCAAAAAGACATGGTCACTTTTACCCAAGGGAGGAAGGTACTGAATGTCAAATATCTCTTCCTCCTTCCTGGTAAATATCAAATCTAGCATGGAGGGAACGTCCCCTTCCCTCATCCTCGTAGCTTGTTTAACATGTTGATACAAGAATGTTTCCAGGATGAGGTCTACAAATTTACAGGTCCAAAAATCTTCTGTTTTAGCTTCATATGCTTCCCAGTCTATGGATTTCAAGTTGAAGTCACCGACTATCAACAGTCGTGATCTATCGTTATCCGCTCCCGCTATAATTCTCTCATTATTGTTATAAGACCTT